TATCACAGGAAAATAATCATAAACATCAGGAACTATATTATTTTGTAAACTTTCATGGTTTTTTTCAATTATTAGGAAAACCATAAGGAAAATCAAACAATACTATCTTAGTTTACCCACTTGTTAAAAATATCTACCAAAGAGTTCTCTTAAAGTTTTTGAGCGAAACGAATTTTCGGAACACAAAAAAACACACATTATAATAAAACAAATTGAAAGCTCTATTGGTTAGCTTAATCCTACTCCGAGTTAACTATACAGAAAACCAACATATTTTATATTATGTATTCATTATTAAAACCAATTTAGACCTATGGTATCCAACTGTGAGATTGTGCCAGTAAGTTTAACATTTAAATTATACAACGCTGTTAAAATATCTTTTCATAGCATTATTAGTTTTATTTTATGAGATTTGTATTGTTTTCTGGGTAACTCGGAGTAAACAAAAATGTATTTCTCTTAAACCGTAAAGAAAATCAAAAAATGTCTTCCTCGATGACATCTCCATCTACAAGACCATCTACAAGAAATCCCTGTACATTTTGGCAAGATTACTAATACAAATGTAGTATACAAACAAAAACAAAAAACATAGTTAAACTAAAATTACACTCACTTTGTTTAAAGTTTAAAAAAAAAAAAACAAAAAAAATGCAAATTACGATTAGTATTGTACCTTCGACGTGTTGCATATTTAGAGAATAGAAATTGTAAAATGCTTTTATCTATACATTTTATAATAATCAGGACAGGAATAAGGAATTATAGTCAATAAGAATTTTATTCGCGCACAAGTACCCTGTCCTATATACTTTGATATTAACAATCTTATTTTATAAAACCGAGTGAATATATTACACTCGTTTATTACATACAGTTATCAAAATATATAAAATATATTTTACATAACCTGTAAGTTATAATAACATTTCGAATAAAAAGAGAGTATGTAAAATTATAAACAAAATTGTATGCTTTATAGTTAAAACTTACTTATTAATTTAATCATATTCATATCAAAAAAAAATGACATTAATATGCAGTATAAACTGATTATTAATTGATATTGATTTGCATATTCTGCTATGCTTTATTTTTTTTTTTTTTTTTATTTCAACAGAATATCATAACATTACAATTTTAAGAACGAACATAAACAAACAAATAATATTGTACGTGGCAAACTAACGTAAAGCCGCGGCTGTCATTAATTTATTTTAATAGTGTGAAAAAATAAAAATACATACTTATATATACCTAAAACTAATATTTATTTTTACGATAGGTTTTTTTTATTTTTTATGTTCTGTACTTGTCGTACCGAGTATTAAACATTCAATGTTTATTTTGTTATAACTCTGTAAAAGTCAATATATTATTATTCGTAATGTCATCGAACTTGCGCTTTTTTTTTTTTTTTACCGATTCGTTTGGGTTACTAGCAATAAAACAAAATATATAATAAATATTTTAAAATAATAAAAATAATTGTACCAACTGTGTCGTGAGAACGAATTAAACGTAACCATAAGCTCGTTAAATGCATTTTCCTAAACAAATAATAATCCGTGTCGTTTGCATCATGTAGTGAATATGAAAATTCATAAATGATAATATTAAAAAACAAAATACTCAACGTATTTTCTACCGAAATTTCGCTAAAATACGTATCTTTCGTGTTGAATTACACGTACTGCATATTATTCCGTGTATTAAGCTTATAAAATAATTTTAACGTTAAACCATTTATTGTAGAATTTTAATTAATACAAGTTTTTTTATATGGTGCTAAGAGATAAGACCCTACACAGTTTTTATTCAAAAACCTCGCGTTTTCTCAATGCGTTAATGTATTATAACATGTTTTCTATATTCAACCGCAATTTATACTGGCACCGTACTGAAATTTGAGTTTTTTACAATGTGGTTTTAGAATACCCCTGCCCCCTCAGTACTCATGCCCCTTGAGTGTGTATATTATGAAATACGCATATCCCATTATATTATTGTGAAATTTACTGTACGATGTGATTTACTGTTAAATAATAATACTTACTCTTTCTGTAACGACTTTTCTCAGTTTTTCCCAATTATTAGGAAAACTACAAGGAAAATCGAAAAAATTGCTTTTCGACATACCATCTAAACAAAATTGTGTACCAGTTACCAAATCATAAATTTTGTTTTGGGAGCAAGCATATCTGGTGGAAAAGTATTGTTGAAAGACGAAAAATAAAACCTCATCTTAATAAAACCAAAACATTCCTCGCTAGACTACTGGCCGTTACAGTGTTTCAAATTCCGGATTGAATATATGCGCGTGAAAAAATATGTACTGTGTAAATAATATGAAATAATATGTACTGTATAAATATTATTTTACATACTCACCCCTCCCTCAGAACATCCTATATAGAAACTAGTGCTAAAGATATTAACAACAAATGATGATAATATTATCATCGTTTATCGTGATTGGCAGTGATGTGCGCAATGTCCGATACGAGAATAATAAATATTCTCGTGTACAACAATAACAACAATATTCGTTTTTATAATAATCATAATAATAATCTGTCGCTGCACAGTGCACGTCGAAATCGAAAATACGAATGTGAATGGGCGCGATTGTTCGTAGGTAAGTAAAAGTTCACAAAGAAGGGGGAAAAAACCCCCGTCACAACGAAACGGGCTTTCATTAATAAAATATAATATTTCATTATCGTGCGGCGTAAAAACCAATCGACTGTGTGGCACCGATGGAAAAGACTATACACAACGATGATAATAAATATTGTTATTTTTATTATCAACTCGCGTCCGTTTAACAGCAGGAAAAAATCGCAACATTTATTTTATTTAAAGCTCGGTGATAGTATCTATTATCCCATATCGTAAACGTTTAGCTGACCGGTTTTTTTTAGCAATCTATTGTTCGACATTTTATTTATCCTCAAAAACGATGTTCAGTGTGTGTATTTATGTGTCGTTGTGTACGAGTATATTACGCTTTCGAATGAATTCAACACTAAAAAACGCGTGCGAGTTATCGTAACGTCTCGTTGTCAACGCGGTAATAACCGAAAACGACCTACGTTTAGTGTCAAATCCGTACAATATTGTTGTACATTATATCTCCGGTTTCGGGATAGTATAGCTTAACCACTCTGGTGTAGACGACAGTCTATTAAAGACGCAAATAGATGAGATATTTTGTATATTTTTTCAAGCCTAAAGTTCAATCAATCAACAAAACGAATAAAATATTGCCTACGAATAATTAACCACCAGTAATAGGTCACTATAGTAGGTAGGAAATATGAAAAGTGTAGAACAAGTTGTATACGTCTCGTTTTATACCAATATGGTCTATGAAAGGTAAAAATTTTATATATTTCGGGATAGGTACTGCGTGAAAAAATTGGAGTACGTATATTACTCACCAAAGAAGTGTTTTCGGCAAAAACAATAAGAACACCTTTTTTGGAAAAACTATTATAGACATTTCGAAAAATTATTCAAATTAAATACCATCAAGTGAATAATTGTTTTAATGTACGTCTAAAAAAAAAATTGGACATCTTAGTAAAACTTATAGTTTCTTCGCTACACTCAGAATCTAAAACATAGATCATGTGGAGAAAGATAAGTTGAGATCCTCAAAAGAAATCTCCCTAACAAATTATCTACTCTCCTTCCCCCAAAAATAATACTAACTAAGCCACTGTCATACATATAAAATAAAAACAAATAAAATTATCCTAATGAATGAACTTGTGCGGTCCAGTGGAGTTTTTTTTTTGTTTTTAAAAATCTAAGAGAAACATTTGCGGTCATCGCGCAGTTGGTTTTAACGTTGTGTGAAGTTTAATCAAATGACGAAAAGATTGAGAAAAAATAAACGACACTATTTTAATAATAACTTATTGGAAACGTTGTGAAAACGAGAGAAATAATAATAATTTTAAGCAGTATGTCATGCTCGAGTTCTCGTCACCGTAGTGTACCAAAATTGCCTAAACATGGTGCCGTGTAAGATGAATTTTATTTATCTAGAGTAATAAAACCGATTTTAAAACGTTTTGTATAGACAGCCCAAGTGAGACATTATTTAGATATTTATTACGAAAACTTAATTTTAAAGTACTTAATAAACCTAAATTATATTTTTCGCACTTAATTTATTCTGAATAATAAATTGTACCGTTTAATTGTTTTAATTTTGAGACACATAGTCCACTAATCAAAGGAATTTCTTTGCTCCGTAAATGTAATATTAGTTCAAATAATTTTGTTTATTTCAACAACCACACATATGATATTAACAATATATTCACTTTTTTCTAATTAGTGATTATTTATAAATATAACATTGTTTTTTCTAATAATGTAATTGTATACAAATTTTTTTATTTTGTTTTCTTAAGAAATCATTTATTATTTACTCAGCTCAACAGTAACAAGCAATTGTATGCTTATTGGCGGTGCTTACAATTTTTCTATAACTATAATATGATATTTGTATACACAAGTATTTTGCTAAAATAAATATAAATATAATTTTTATTATAATAACGGTAAATTTAATTTGTCTGTTACAAATGTAAGCCCTACGTTCTGTCGTAAGTACCTGCTTAAAAAAACGCACAATTGTTCGTCCATTTTTTTTTTTTATTTTCGAAATTCATATGGATTTTGTTAGCCTATAAATCAAACTTCCGAGTTTTATATCATTAATTAGTCCAGAAAGAGCAGCAATAAGTTTTCCACAGTAGCGGTAAACGACACAATACAGTGAAATAATCTCTATTTTCGTGGAGAATTCTAAAAAAAAAAAAAAAATAACATTACATTATTTATTTATTATTACATTATATCGGGTTAGTTTATATTCGTAATTTATGTTTGTCTCGTTGCTTTTTTATAATTGGGGACGAAGCGCGTGCGTCTGTTAATTATAAAGAATATTTATTATAATACTATTTGTTTTTTCAGAGGGAGGCGCGATGAACGCTTCGTGTGCCGGAAATGACACGACCGCGAACAGTTCTAGTTCCGTGAACAGTTCAAGTTGCGTGAACAATTCCAGTTACAGTATCGACGTCGAGGTCGCATTGTTCAAAGACCGACGCCTGACCGATTACCTATTGTTCGTGTTATTTTTCTTGGTCATACTGACGACAGTGGTAAGTGAAACGAAACAAAGGTGTACATAAAATGTATGTACGTTGTACTGTTTTAATTCTTATTTATATCGTTTTTTTCGTTGGTTTTCTCATACTCCCTATATTTACTATCATTGGACATCGCAAAACGATATGGGAAGTATGAAAAATAAAACGAATTTCATGAGATCCACTTATTCGGTATCCAGATATACTTGTACATATTAACACGACGTAATGATAGCTTCGTTTACTGTTAAAGCCTTATAAGAGATAAGGAAATTTTACTTCCGTATTTGTTTTTTTTTTTTTTACTATTTCGCGCGTGATATAGCATCAAGGGCATTTCAAGATTCCGGGATTGCGCTCTCTGGTTGAGTTCGTGGCAAAGAAACATTTTAGGTATACGGATTTTATGAAGGACAGAGTTTTCCACACATTTGAAAATAGTAATTACTAATAAACGGTTAATCTGATACTAGTGTTATGCATATCAAAATATTTTAAGAAATATTCTCTACTTGAACCTGTATTCAAAAAAGGGGGGTTCTTTTTTTTAAAAAAAGGAACTATCTTCTTATTCAAGATACATGGAGTAGAGGTAGAAATTAAAAATGATTTTAAAATAAAGCATAAACGATTCTTTGGTGATAATAATAAACATAAATCAAATTTATTTGAAATACTACGAGATAATTGCTGATTTTTAATAAAAAAAAAAATTACTTTCTAGATGCATTTTTTTGTTTTTTTACAAATTTTTAATATAATATAAGTATTATTTTTTTTTGTAATTTGCTAATTTCGTATTAAATTTACGTAATTAATAGTATAATAATGTAATGTATACGAATGCGCACAGAATATTTACATATTTTACGTTTAGCTTTAATATCAAATTTCTGAGTCATGTTTTATGTAGTTTTTAACGTGATAAAAAAAAAAAAAAAAAAAAAAATTCCGGTGCATTTTTAAAGTCATCAACATATTCCCTCTTCGTTATTATTATTATTATTATTGCGGAACGCGGTATAACCCAAATATTTTCATCTACAAAGAGAATGGAATCATAGTAATAATTATTATTATTTAATGGGAAAAACACCCTATAAATCCAAGACAACACGACGGCGGCTGATCATCGTGACTAACGATCCGGCGGGTCGCGATAGATTTTGTAGGTCAAGCGGATTGGCGGAATGCCCGACGAAAAAAGGGTTATTTAAACCAGTCACTGTATATATATATACAGTGCCTACATAAACATAGTGAAACGTGAAAAATGACCTTTTTTGAAGTGCTGTCCGCCGCCGTTACATAAGTCGTCTGTATATATGAAGGCTCAAATTCGCTATGAAACTTTTCAGCTGCGGCGTTGTATTAAACGACCCGAAAATAGTTGGCCAAATAAACGATACCTATGGTACATATGCACGCACAAGCGGTCACTTTATTAATGTACAGTATGTGCTAAAACACCGGTATACGCCTTAGTGTCTCTGCCGCAAATCAATAAATATAAATGTTGGTTTTACAAGAATTAGTAAGACAATCCTAATTGAGTGCCGTAAGTTTCAAAAAAAAAAAAATATGTATGCAATATTCGTTGTCGCATTTTCAAGTCATCCATTTTTTTAATCGTATTTTTTAAAACATTAAAATTCCGTGATAACCGACTATATTAAAACATATTATATTTAATATAAAAAATAATTCCTCACCCAATCTAAATTCATTAAAGCATCATGTTTTACTATTATTCTTACAGAGTCAAAATATTCTTATCCTATAACCTGATCAATTTTCACTTAATAGTTTTTTTTTTTTTTACCAACAGTTTTAAAAAATATATTAAAAAATGGATCTCTTAAAAATATAAGTAACTAAATAAAATAAAACGTTTTTGGATTTCAGAAAAAAACATTTAAAAATTATACTATTAAATTAAAATTTTCTTTGTAAAAAAAAAACGAATTTGAATATATATATATATATATATATATATATATACATACAAATCGATTTTTTACAGAGATATATTAAAGATAATATTGAAGTTTCGATACTTACTGTATAATGTAAAAGTCTGAATTGTCCACAAAATATACCCTGCCGTTTTCGAATAAAATACAATTTTTGTAATATATAAAAAACATGAATTTGATGCCTAGTTCCAAAATAAAATATAAAGACTGTTACAAGTGGGAAGGTTGAATACATCATATTATTAATCACGGTTTATTTATAACATGGAAATTTAGATCAGGGTTACTAAACCTTTGGTCGTAAATTATTTTGCTTGGGTCACTCTAACATTTTTAAAGTTGATATAAACGGAATTTTAAAAACAGTACATTTTGGTGTCTCGAGAAGAGCTGTTGGGTAAACGGGGGACAATAAGTTTAAATTAAGGACATTCTGACATCCATATTTTGTAACTATCTACTGAATAATTGCCAATTAATTTTGTCCGAAATTTGAAATTTAGACACTTAAAAAAATATCGTGTGCTTTTAACTCAAGCTTTTACTCAGAACTTAAAACATCTGACAAAGCAGAGCTACTTTTTTTCTTGTTTTTTTTTTTACTACTTTCCTTCGCCAAAGATGGCTTGAACATATTTTGGAGTAAAACAAACGTATATAACGTAATAAAAAAAATCGTTTAGAAACTTTTTTTCTTGTTTTTTTTTTTACTACTTTCCTTCGCCAAAGATGGCTTGAACGGCTTGATATTACTTCCCTAGAATAAGGGTCTATATATAATTACGGTATAAATAAAAAAATCTCGGTGGCCCGAAATAAACCTTTTCGAGATTCTAAACGATGGCTGCCGGTTTTTTCGACGATATTATATTTCCCTAACCTAACCAAGGATAGATTTATGTACCGTATATAAAAACCGTTTTAACTTTTTAGAGTTTCTATCCAAGTGCTGTGACCGTTGATGTGGGGTTTTTTCAACACTTTTTTCGGACAACAAACACGTACCATATAAACCGCTTTTTAATATGGGAACTCCATGAGAAAAATCAAAATGGAATGTAGAGAGTACTTATTTACCATAACTACGCTGTTCATATTCTTCTAGATAACTATTTACTTACCTTTTATCTTATCTAGATAAATAATTTGAATTTGTGTTCATATTTATCTCAGATATGTATTCCACTTATATAGATAAATATTGTACTAAAATATTGAATTACCAAAACTGTTATCCAAATTATTATTTGTTTTTATTCTCCGTTACAAAGACTATAATATAATATATAGTAACACAGGTATTAATTAAGTATAACGGATAAATTATGTTGTTAAACAAAATTTTTTAAAACTCTTTTAGTTTGGCAGCTTCTTGTGTATTCTTTAGTTACATTAACAGTTACATACAGTTTATCACTTGTATCAACTATTAAGTTAAATATACATAATATCTAACTGTGATAAGGTTCAACATTATAATGATTAAATTATTTAAAATTAAAGATCATTCAATTTAAGAAATCAAAAGTAAATTAAACTAACTTTTTATCGTAGGTTAATTTTTCTTAATTGAGTTTAGAAATGTACAAATTTACTCAGTGTTTGCTTTGTGTTGTAACATAAAATGATTAATTTATTGTTTTATCATTTTTTTTTTTATTAAAATACATTTATCTTTCATTTTTAAATATATAAATTGGATTTTTTTCATCTTTTATTTACATAATTTTTTAACCACCTAACCCAAACACTGTTAACCTGAAACCAAAAACCAATAACTCGACACTGTTAAGTTGATAATTTTTTACGTGTCCGTTGTACTTTCCGTGATTTCACTGCAGTAATAATAAATATGAGGATACGTAAAAATCGATATTTTTATTTGATTCGTGTGATGCACGCAATAAAATCGCGTTTGTGAAAACCTATTCGTTTGTTATTCGTAATAAAACATAGTAGGTATAATGTTTGAATTTTTAATTTAAAACTCGAGAGGTTAACCGCTGGTTATATTTTAGATGTCATTGGAAATAAATCTCCGGAGATTTATTTCGATGAAAAATGAGTGGGTTTCAACGGTGGTGGCGTAATGGTAAAAAATCTCCTCGAAAAATCGCTTTTCGTAAACGACGTCTACACGTTTTTTTTTATTATAATTTTCAAACCAAACTCTGGAAATCCAAAGTCAGCCGATTCCAGAAAACAAGACGTGTTGGCCCGTGACTCGAACTGATTAATGCCATCCTTGTTTGAGAATAAAAATGAGCTGTCCGCAGTGTTATCTTATTGCTTTTATTTTCATCCCCCACCTATTTTTCGTATTATATTCTCAGTATAACAAAGAAGCTATTAGTTTTGCAAAGATGTATTTTTCTTTTCTTTTTCATAAAAAAACCTTTCATTCACTGAAAATGGTTCGATTTTTTTTATGTATCATACCATAAAAGGTTAATGATTTTTCACTTGATGATGTTACAAACAATTTTCTAAATTCCAAAAATCTAATTTTTTCCAAAAATGAATTTTTATTTTATTTTCAAACACTTTTTTTCATTAGGTTCTTAATTTTTCACACCGTACCTCAATGTTATGACATTTTTATCCGCTGGTAATTTATTTGAAACATACATCAAAATTCTCAGCAGTTTAGCTCCATGTCCTTAATTTTTATATAGATCCAAAATCTATACAATAAAGCCCCCTTGGAAATGTTTGATTGGACCATAATAAGCCTTCCAGTCAGGGGGCTTGTTTACAGACGATTACAAACGATTATTTTGTTGTTGGTTTTCAATCACGTCCATTTGACATTATTGTTACTTAATGCCGTGTGTAAAATCATATAATTTCGAATCCGGGGAACGTTTAAACCGTAAAAATGTATAAAATTATTTTAAAAACGGCGCGTCCGTCTTTTAAATTGGAAAAAATAAATAAAAGTTACTATATTATATAGTCAGAGTATGCTAATATTATACGTTTTGTGTAATAAATTAGCGGAGTTATAACAAATTTTAATAATATTTATAAAACTATGCATAATGTGCGTGAACTGTTGTATACGCGTGTAACGTTTTATGAAAAGTTACATTTTTATAAATGATTAATCCGAACGGTAATAAAATAGTATTATAAACTCGGCAAAACTTTTGCAGTTTTGTAAAACGGATTCGTTTTAACGATACATTTATAATATTATACGTATCAGGGCGTTTATAGCAATTTCTGTTTCGGGAGAAAATAGGCTGTTTTGGCTGATATAGAGACCGGCGTGACACTCCTTCGCAAACTTGAAAATTTAAAATACCAAATCAGCAATTCCACGTTAATTTAATATTAAAGTTGACAAAATTAATAATTTCTTCGTTTCGTTACATGACTATAACATCGTAATATTGTTAACGTAAAATATATTATTTATTATCGTATTTATCAAAGGATAATATTATAATTGTTTAAACATTTTAGAGATTTGGCGAATAGTACTCGGTTTCGGAAAATATTTCATCACACCCCTCCAATAGTTATTTATTATTGTTTTCGGCTCTCGCTGAAAAGTTTTTGTGTTTTACCCATTACGAACGCGTGCATTGAACTCTGAATACAATTTTGACAGTTTCCTCTGAGGCAGGCAAACCTATGTCGTTGTTTAACGTCGAATCTTGGGAAAATGCGTGTCTTTCACGAAGATATTTTTTTTGTTTATTTGGTGTGTATTTGTGATTCCACGGTCCCAAAAAAATACAATATCAATTATTCAAAATTTCTACACGAATAGTATTTTTGCTAGTTATTAAACAGGAAATATACAGGAAACACATGCAAGTCCACTCTCTATAATTAATATGTCTTGCCAAATAATTTAATCAATTTTATTTTTTGCCGTTAAGTACAGGTATATGTTTACTACAGCACAAGGCTAGTTTAAATATACAATATTTAAAGTTCGAAACAAATTCAATACTGCAATATAAGTCAGTATTATGTCTAAATAAAGCATTGAAATATTTGATATTTGATATGCATTACCCTATTTACTTATTTGAATACAGATTTTCCTTTCTCATCGTGACAGTAGCGTATTCAAGGAGGCAGATCTGAAGATAGATCCGCTCCATACAATTATGATAATAGTGTAAAGTGCGCGTCACCGTAGTAAAATTGTGGTTCATATCATATCAGTTAGTTTTATTGCTATTACTCTTGAGAGCGATTTAGTTGCACGTGTACCTAAAGTTAATTTAAATAAAAAATTATTTTATCAAATGTAATGCTGTGGATCGTTGGATATTAGTGTATATATATATATTTGAAACAGACATCGTAGAGAGTATATTATTATTATTGATTTAGCACCGTGATCATTATTGTAAGTTCAAAAATTGTTAATTTTGACAATTTCCAAAATATTGAAAATTAGATATTATTTCTGTTTTCTTGTACGGTAATGCAAATGTAACTTATTCATTAGTTTGAAATAACAAGATAACGGGAATAAAGTTTAAAATATTTAAAATTAAAATATCGCGTTTCACATTGAAACGGTCACGTAGAAACGTCCGGCTTCAAACTAATCGTAATAATTAAAGTTGTGGATCGTATTGAAATAATCACTCTGTTTATTGTTATCTCTCTTCTGTAACTGGTATAATACACTATGATAATATCGCCTGTCCATTAAAATAATATTATTTATTATCTACGATACAATCGCCCGATTTAATTTCACTAAAATAATTTATTCGCCGGTTGAAATTTCATTTCAATGTAGCGATGAATATTGTATTATGAATATGGGTTTTGTAAAAAAAAAAATACACAGAGTCTAAATTGCCCCGGATGGCACTGTAAACAACAACAAAATCACAACAAACTAAATCGAGAATCGAAAACCAAACGAGATAATATTAATATAATCACCAATACGTCATAGGTATGCAGTTTATTCCGATTAAATCTACACAATAATAACAATATGAACAAGCGGTAACAAAATAATAACATGACGTACCGTACGACAAATACCGGCTAGTAGATTGATGATTTTTTTTTTTTTTTTTGTATAATTGATTGTTACGCAAATTTCCATTCTAATCGAATTGACGGTATGATATGATTAATAGGCGCTCTGTAAAACTAAAAATATTGTGAGAAAAAAAATATATCATTCTAGCCGTAATATTTTTATTACCAGGCACAAAACAATCCGGTTATACAGGTATGTAATTCGCATCGCCGATAAACCACGGGTATAGGTGGGTATTTAGGAAGTCAGGATAACTATACATTTAGTGCATCTGCCGCCTCAATTATTGAGCAGGTCCAAAGATGTTTCCTTTCCTTTGTCAACCACGTCTTTAATATTAACCGCCCATTGCATAGCTATATTCTTGTCCTACATTCACTAGATTTAAATACCTTCGCGAGTAGAAGAGTCAATGCCAATTCTAAATTCCTCCAAAAAATGGATCCTATCCTATATAGATTGTCGTGTAACTCTCCATCCGCTCTATTGTTCCAATCGTTGTCCCTTTATGTGTCTCCAATTACGGTCGAAACAATCTTATAGACCGCATAATGCACCAAGCAAACGAGTTCACCGCCTTTACCAAGGTGTAGTTAATGGCCACCTATACGTATTTATTCAGTCTGTGAATTATTAAATCAAAATTGTTGTCTTGACACTGTTATTATTATTAATATTATAATTTCTATTATTATTATTACTATCTCAATGCCGTATTAATAGTAATGTACTCTTGTCCAAACTACCCGATTGGACATTGATTAATAAGGAATAAATAAATAAATTTAGTTTAGTGGCTTATTGACGGTAACATATTGGGGGGGATATATTTTCCACATTATTTTTTTCAGTATTTATAGTTTGTCGACTATCTGTTTTTAAATTTAAATTACTTAACTTTTCAATAAAAAGAACAAATAGTTTAATGCGCCTTTATTATGATTAATAATTTTTAAATAATAACGTTGGGCTAGTTAAATTTTTTTTATTTCGACTCGAGTTGATTTTAAAATCGAATACTTGGGTCAAGTCGTCGTATATTTGAGGTAAAAAGTGATGAAAGAAAAAAACAATGTTCGAGTCGAATATACTCGACCAATTCTAAATTAAACATAAATCAATTAATGACGTTATAATAATACTTTGGTATAAAAATAACAATTATTTTTTTTTAAAACAAACTGAACGTATACACATTTTTTTGTTAAAAACGATTCATTTTTTCATACATTTAGATCAATAAGCTGAAGTAAAGTAATCATATTTTCAGTAATCTAAATTCTGTTTTTTACAATTTATTACTTTCGTATACTTATTTTTACCTGTGTTTTTTAAGAAAATATTTTAGTTAATTTTTTTTTATGACACTTTATTGTACGGGAGTATTTTAAGAAAAAAACAAAAAAAAACGAAAATTTGATATTTTAAGAAAAATATCAAAGATTTCAAGTACGTCTTTAACAATTAAAATTGGGTGAACTGTTGAAAAAATTGATAAATGTTTCAAATAACGTACCACAGGACGGAAATTCTGGATATTTTTTAAGGTATTACATAAATATCGGTTTGGTCTAACAAAGCAAAAAGATATTTTCTAAAGAAAATAAACACACACACACACACACATATCTTGATAAAACAAATAGTTCATTATTCGTTAAATTGAATATGTGACGAAAAAAATTCACAATTCTGAGGTTTTAATAACGATAAATAGTAAACAAAATATTGTGAGGTTTAAACAAAGCGCTTATTTATGTTTATACAAAAAAATGATTTAAATTATTATATCAGTCGGTGTTCTTTTAAAGATAAACACAAATTTCGAATTAAATTCTCAAGACTATACCTAAATCGTTAGCCAATGTATATTTAAGGAAAAATTTGTTCACGTGTATGCAGATAATGGTTGAACGAACTTTGTGGACAGGGTATTATTACAAAAACGAATATTAAAAAAAATTGTTTGGACATCATCACAAACGAAAAATACGCCCGACGATTTGTTTATTTTCATTTGAAAAAATAAACTGCATTTATATTAATGAGTTTTCATAATCTAGCTTATAAGTTGTAACATGTAATATTATATGTTATAAGTAAAAAAAAATATGTAATTTTCGTTAGATTATTTTTTCCCCCTCACATAAATATAATATTAAGCGATAGGTAAATACGATATTTATTATATATTTTTTTTTTACCTAACCCGATAATGTGCATCTGCATTAATCTACAAAAGTCAACAGATATTAGGTAATAAATATTTGACGAATAACAATTTTTTTTTTTTATTAATAGTATACGTTTGACCGAGCAAAATAATTTACCCTAGTTAATTCGATAGAGCAATCAGTGTGTTTTTATCTCATTCTCGTTGAATATCGATAACAAATTTTAAAAACCTGCTTTCATTTTGTATGGTTCGAATTCGAAGGACAATTTAAACAAAACTAATAATAATATTATTCTGCAATTCATCGTTTTTTGACGTTCAACCTAGTTATAGTATACAATCAACCAAAAAAGCTAAGAGGGGTTTTAATCCCTCCCTCCCGAAAATATTATCCAGCTACGGCCTTGTATACACATTATCACATTTACGTAAATTTGCTACGCATTATTCTAACTCGTACTAAGTTAAACTTGTATATTATAAAATTGTAAACACACATTTACTTATAGCGATGGCATGTTAACGTGGTATAAATATCGTTAAAGTTCGCCTACATTAGTGTATTATAGTGGTCAAATTAAAGAATCCATAGATAACGATAATAGAAAATGGACAGTTGCTATAGAATAATAGTTATCTGAATGGTTGATAAAAGATACGTAACAATTTCAATAAACAACATATAATTAGCAATTTGTTATATCTAGGTAAATATGACATTTTGTTCATTACCTATCACAATTATAAGTGCTAAAATTATTAATTGTGTACCGAATTTGATAGACTTCATAGACTTGATATTCTTCTCCTTCTTATTCGCATTCATCCCAATTATATTTGGGTTATGTTACCCTCGTCCTAAAATTCCACTAGACCTAATCCTACCTCACATACGTCAGCTGTACTCGTATCATTGTCAATCGCGTCCAACCATCTCTTTTCGGGATTCCTCTCCTCGTCGTTGCACCTAGATTTATTAGTCACATTAATACAAATTAATTATTTTATTTATTATTAATTCTAATAATTATTACATACATTGTGACAATTTAATCAAGCATATCTCGATCGATTCATCTATAGGTAGATACGATTCAATATATCATTTATCTAATAAAGGACGACGGTGCGAATAACTCGATTTTCGTTTATATAGATAAGATAAAAGATAAAAACATACAACGTTGAATCGATGTTCGAATAATTATTCGCTCTCGCCGTTTATTATTATAATTAACGAAATCGACTCGTCGTGATGTTAATATATTCTGCGGCTTAAACGCTATCGGATTTGAACATCAAACAATTATTTTAGAAAATAGTTAGCGATGAGGACCGCATATATTAGCACGACGCGAACCGCCTTTTATCGAACTTTTGTTCAACTTGTTTCAAACTTTCAAGTCGCACGCCACAAGTTTGTGTATCGAACTCCTATACTCGAACGAAAATTCTTGTGTCTAGCTATTATCTGGCAAAAACCTACTCAACCGCGAAAAAACAAACAAATTACCTATTAATAAATCGACACGTTTTCTTCACACTCCGCGATAAATCGACCAAACCAACCCGTAGGTAACGTATATGATACCGAAAAAGAAAAAACAAAACCATAACGAGCGACGTTTGTCCGTTTATGTCGCATTTTCCGAGTAATTTGATAATACGGTTTTCATTGTGAATTAAATATTTTTTTTTCAAAGTACTTTCCCCGATCACCGTGCATTTCTTCACGGTGAAAACTCGTCTTTATTTTTATGGCGTGTTAAAATATAACGTATTTTAAAAAATATTAATAATTTAAATCCTCTCCACAAAATGTTAAGACTTTTTACTGCAGTACATTATATTTCATACGCGACATTCTCAAATAGGTGTCATTTTTTTTCGACACAACTCCTTAATACTGGGTTGTTTATTATTTTTTTTCCCCCGTATATTTTATGTAGTCCACAGTCGTCCGCAACTTTCCGTATAATCTTCTATATCGCGCGCAAAGTACAAGTTTCAAATAAGCTATACACTACTTCGGATTGATCGTTGATTTATTCGAAAACTTTCGATAATTATTTAGTTTTGAAAAAAAAAATCACTTAATGCATAAATTACAATATATTATAGTAGGTGCAGTATAGTTTTAAGTACCTATAAGTATAGATATATTTTTTTTTCTGTAACGTATAAATTATTTTAAGTCTCTAAGTAAATTATAATAATAATATAAGAGCATTCAGTAAAGAGCTGAAAAATTACTTTCCCGTGTAATCGTCAAATAGAAATCAGGGGTGTACAATTTTAGGACATAACATCTGCGTCGTTATAATAGTGTTTATAATTTATAATGGAATATCTAGGAAAACTCTCTAGACTCAATTGTTAAAGGTGATATCTTACTTTTTGGTGGTTTTTGAATATAATAATGTATTATGTAATCGTATAATATATCTCCGCTTACATTGCAAAAGTATACGTATCTCACGTATCAGTATGTATCTCAGTTTTTGTAGTTTTACTGTAAGTATGTTAAACAAACCTTTTAGAAAACAACACTTACCTCAACTTTATTTTTATGTATTATAGGGTGTTGATATTATACACAGTCGTGTATCTGGGTCCTTATACCTAACATGGGGGAGGATTTATTTTGTATAAATAGAGTACAATATTCCACCATAATAAACAGTGTGTCCCGTCGTATAAATTAATCACTAAATACTGAAGCCTGATGACCTTAAATTAAAATGCGGTTTTCTGTCATAGTTGTCCTAGCTACGGTTACATTTCCAATTTTCAACCATAAAAATTAATAATTATTATTATCATTAAAAATAAAAATTAATATTTGCCACTTATATCAATAACCCTTATGATACAAGTTCTTATAATTTTTGTAACATACCGTCTAAAACAAAACATTATCGAAAACACATGCTTTTCAATCACATTTTATAAAATTTTAAGATACGTGATGACGATATGTGGTTAAATTAACAGAGTTAAAGTGTTATGTTTAATACATTTTAGAAGACTAAATTAAGCAGACAGTGTTGTAAAAAAAAAATTAATTAAAATTCATAAAATAATAAAAAAAAAACCGATGGTTTTAGTTTAATTAAGTTAATAGTTAACATTCATTATTCATGAATAACAGTTTCACTTATTTCTCCAAATATTATTAAATATTTTATATAGTGACAAATTAAAATTATTATTTCTTATTGAGATTTGTACACAATGTAAAATTATATGCTAAAAAAAAAATAATATTAATAATAAAACAAATACATAATATAAAAAAATAACAAGTATATATTATACATATACCTAACTAGGTACACAAATTATTTATGAATAAAAAATGTTTTAAATAAAAATATATGTGTATATTTAAACGTTTAAAAATGTTTTTTTTTTTTTTTTTTTTTAATGATTTATATCTACTCTGCTAATTAATGTTTCTTGTGAATTCGTTCCCAAGCGGATTTCATTCAAACCTCTATTCAAACATTTCCGAAACTACTATAGTAGTACTTTTAAGTACATAGCGGGAAATTTCAGCGAAATCGGTCGAATAATCTTTGAACTTGCATAACCTATACTGGGGGAGATATTCGCATAAGATCATTGTTTCTTTATTGATATTTGCATACTCGTGATTACGTGCACTAGAAAATGTTCCTTATGAGTCTATAATCAGTAATAATTGGTTCGTTTAGACCCGAACAATTTAATATTTCCATTAAAAAACACGTATAATATTTTTTCAATCACTCATACTGTATTATAATACGTGTGCTGACAAATAAATGAGATTTGATTATTATTAAATTAGATTTATTCAAATGTGGAATTACATTGATAAGTTCCTTAAAAAAAGGTTTTTATATGTTTGGATCCAATCGTATCGTTATAATGTTGCTATCACCGTATTATTATGTCACGTTAATCACGCAATCATGTAGACCATGGTTATCGATTGCTGCGCGTTTTATTCGATGAATCGGTGACCGGTTTATTGAAATTTAAATATTCGTCGAAGGGCAATCGATATTCGACCGTGCCGCTACGAATTATTCATGGACAAACTTTTCGGATTTACAAGTTTTTATCGTATATAATATTATAAACGGTATTATTCACATCAACGATGACGCGAAACGAGCATTGTACGGTGTAAACCCATTCCCTCGGGGGAGACGGAGCGAGTGCCGTCCTGCAGGGGACTTCCGTGGGGAAAACCAAACTGCCGGTGACGGAAGCGAGGGAATTCCGATGGCACGAGGCTGTTGTGAATCGCAGTGTTTGAATTTTTGCTCCAGTATACATATACATAGGTATATACACTCTCTGGCCAGCTCCTCCCCGGGGACCCCCCCACAACTCGCACAGTGACCGTCAGGTTTTTTTCCTGTCCCGTCAATAGGTCACGTGCAATATGAAATACGCACATTTTCTTGGATTCTAAACGGAAAGCAGTTTATCAGTTTTAATATAATGTAATAATTCTACTATACTTATTATTTATGATGAGTAGGTTCGACCAAAAGAGTTGCACCGATTTGTGTAAACGTCATAAAGTATATTTTTTTTTTTATCTGTGGATAACTTTTATAATTATCAGAAATCTTGTTTAAATCAATTTTTTATTGTTTTTCTTGTAGTTAGAAAATATATGAAAAACAAAGTAATTTTTAACAGTAACGCTTTATTTATTCACGATTTTGTTTTTGTTATAATTCGGTTAAAAATAATCTTAGAGACTCGAATTAATATTTTCCGAATACCTACATCCAAAATATTTTTGATATTTTTAAGGTATTTATGATTTATTTTTGACACATTTCAGTTTTTCAGTTTTGTAGTTTTGTTTTATATGATTTTAATTTTACGAGTACAATTTTGACTAGCAAAAATTTAAAAAAAAAACATAAAATTTACGATACAATTCAAAACGTTTTTAAACCCAATTTTCCTCAGGATCGTATTTATTTAGATATGGGTTAAGTTAGCAATATGATTTATCTTTGCGAAAAGATATAAATGAAATAACCTTATGTATCCCACCATCCCGATTTTTCATATATATATATATATATTTGTTTTATTTTTTTTGATAAATTCACGTGAAAGTTTTCATTCGATATCGTCAAATCCGAACGAGTCAAACACAAATTCGATTATAACAATATTTTGTTTCGTCAGCGGGGGCGGAATACCGCGTATTTTCTGGGCGAACACTGTGGCTATACAATCAGTGTGACTGGTCGAACGATTTAAATAAAAACTTTTGGCCGGCTATAAAGGGCGTAATAATGTTTACACAATATATTATATATATAGGAGAGAAAAACTCGACTTCAACGCGGGAGCTATTAGCTGTGGAGAATGATAAATATACGTCCGAAACGTGTAGTTCGCAGCTCTTCGGTATACGTAAAAGGTCACGTACTTATTCGATTCGTCGTACCCTTTTCTTGCCCGCGGAGGACTCGTGAGTATACCACCGAAGTATAGCTCTGAAAATAAAACACACTAGACTTTTGTTCGTTGGAATGTTTGCCGCGCGTTGAACTATATATATGTATAGAAAGAGAGAGAAATAGTGAGTTTCACTCAAAATATTTTTGCCCAGTGACCTCGGATTGAAATGAGGTTTTCAAAAGAAGATAGGAAATACTGAAATACACATTTTATATGGATTTTCAAATTTCTTAACCTTTCAGTGTGTGCATGCGCATTTTTTTTAAATGGAAACATCTATTTATAACACTTGATTTAAATAAACCATTTTTTTATTTTTAATCAACTTATATAAATAAACTTTTCTTTTATCTCGAAAATTAGCCGAAATACAGCTAGTTAAAGTTGAAACAAAATTAATTTATTACTATCAAATTATTTTAATTATAAACAATTTATTCCAAAAAAATACTCATCAGTCATCATTACAAATTATTCAAAAGTTTTCTATTATGTTGTAAACATGCTTCTTTACGTCGTACGACTTCATCTTTAGTAGCTGCCATGATTTGTTTATTTATCAGTTGTGCACATGCTTCATTGGTTTTTTGTTTTAAATGCTGGAAACTAATCAGTGATCAACATAAACTAGAGTTTTTAAATGTCCCCAAGAATAAAAATCTACATGCGTAAAATTAGGTGAATGCGCCAGCCAAGCTATTGGTCCATATGTTTCCACCCAAGAATTTCCAAATGAGCTACTTAAGTATTGTCTTACAATAATACTATTGTGCGCGAGAACACCATCATCCTAAAAAATACGTTTTCCCTAATATCTAATGGAATATTTTCTAACAATGGTGGTAAATGTTTAAAGAGAAAATCCAAAATCGCCTTCCATTTAATGTTTCATCATAAAAATAGGAACCTATTATGGAATTTCCAATTAATCCATACCATATATTCGTTGGATAGGGACATATGAACCGATAGCTTAGTTGACGCATTTACCTGATTTGACATTTCGAGATTTTGTTTTCTTTGGGGACTTTTAAAAACTGTAGTTTTTGCTGACCACTGATTAGTCTCCAGCATTTAAAATAAAAAATCACAGAAGCATGTGCAACGCACTGTATATACACTTACACTATAATAAATAGAAACTCTTTGGGCAAATATTTCACTGTTTCTATATATAATATATTAAATAATTATACATGAAAAAAATAAATAAACTATGCAAATATTACCCGAAGACATGAATCCAAAAAAAAAAAAAAAAATTAAAAATTAAGTATTAATTTGTCCACTTAAACTTTTAATTTGTTGCCTTAACTTATATTGTTATTTGGGCATGAATGATAATTTTGTAGATTCTGAAAGAAAGGACGCGTGTATTGGTTTTACTATGATGTGTTTATTTGTGTATATGAACAAATTTTCTACTGGTAACCTTGTTCATATCAAAAACTTTACGAGAACAACTTCAAATCATTTTTTAATCTATTTAGCGTATTTAAAGGATAATTTTTTAATTTTAATTGTAGTTATGGAAAAAACTAGAGATTTTTCTAAAAATTGTCGATTTCTGGATTAACTCGACAACATGGAGGAAAAAAAACAGATCACACTTCAAGAGCTCACTATTAATAAGTATAATATAGAAACCTATAGTACCCGATTAAGTAAATATACTGAAAGCAATGACAAATCATTGTTATCAAAAAAAGATTTCAAGCGTGGATTACTTAACTAGATAGTTGGATTGTAGTCAGTCATATTTGTTTCTATTGTAGCCAAGGTAGTCAAAGAATCATCACAAATAAAACCGATATACATATAGTAACTTGTTTATAGTTTTTAAATTTTTAAGAAAAACTGTCGAAAATTGTCGAATAATTTACCTACTACAAGGTTAAAATAACATATCTAGGAACCTATAATATAACAAAATCAGAACACTAACCTAATCTAACCTAATCAAAAAAAAAAATGTTTTTTAATAAAATAATCATATCAGAGTAGAACACAGCAATAGCTTATAATGGCTTTGATATACTCAGAATTTAAAATATACCACGGGAAACTAAAAAAAAAAAATAACGTTAACAATAATCTAAAATACATGAAATATAATAATGTAAACAAATAAATTAATATAATATGAGAAAAGTAAACAAATCTAGCCTGTAGTATTAATATTATTATAATTGTTTGTGTTTATATATATTATTTACTATCGGTTTTAATTTTAAAAACTATCGACAAACATCAATTTTATTGTTTAATTGTTTAACTAATTTATACAAAAAAAAAAAAAATAATGAAATTATTTATATTCAACAAAAATAAATATAAACAACAACAAATAAAGAAATAACATTTAAAAATCATGTACAGATCCCAAGATATGATGTAAATTGTGCAACCTAAATCCTCGGCCTCTGATACTGAGTCTCAACCTACTTGGCACGTATATAATGCAGTTATCCCAGTACATTTCACAGTCGTCTTGCACTTTTCATACCGTGCTTTTCGTCCCTTTTTTTGGCTAGTTACCGTAACTGTGGTCGTCAGTAAACGATGTGGCCAAGTCCATCGGACAGTTCGATGGACACGGACAATTCAACGATGAACATGTTTATAGATATCGGCCAATGACCACGTACGGGCGACAGTTGAACATATCATTGTATTAAAAAGGTATTGTACCTCTGGAGGATAGTAGTGGAGTGTCGTATTATTAATGCACTACTACTCTCCTCCAACCTAAAACTAAAAGTGGAATATCTTGTCAACAGCTAGATAGAAATAAACAATTTCAACAATCAAATTTATTCTAACTAATACTCCATCTATTTATAGATTTTTTAATATAGGTTTTTATTTGAAGATCAAATATAGGTAGTGGTTTTACTCCCAAAAATAATATTTTACGGAAAATTAACAAAAAAATAAAATACTGAGAGAACTCTGAGAAAATCAGTATTTACCTATCCATCTCGTTATTTTTAATACGTTACGTAGTAACTATTTGTTTGGTATTGGGAGTCGTTTTCAAATTATTAAAATTCTACGTGGTTAAATCGAATACAACAAAATTGCTACGATGACGATGACGCGACGTAAACAAAAATGTCACGAAAGAAATGCAAACAATTTCCCCACGGTGCAAAAACTTTCTACCGTTATAATTATTATTACCAAGATTTCCGGGTTACTCTTCGGACTGCGTTTAGGAAATTCGCAGTGAGGTTATTGGATACTATCCAAAAATTACTTTTTCCTGTTTATTGTTTTTAATCCGCCGGAGTGCGCGTCGAACTTTTACATCGGACTACTTTCACTGGGTATTACCACTATACCAATACCTACAAGAAAAGTATTTCGGGCGGGACAAATTGTCTTTTAAAATTAATATAATGACTTATATCCTTGACACGCCAGAAACAGTAGGTATGTAAAATCTCAACATTTGTTTTTTTTTTTTTTTTTTTGAAGGGTTGTGCCTCTTTAGGTTTTTGGATTTTTGGTTTCGGTGAATTTTAAGGAACAGAAAGAATCGATCATTATTAGTTCTAACATGATTAATGGTTCCGTGTATTATTAATTATTATTGTGTATATTTTTGTGCGAACATTTTGAAACCCGTCCACTAGGAACGTTCGGAGCAAAGATCAACGGTTTAACATAAAGTGAATGATCCGATCAGCCAAGTTGACGGCCGTCAGTCCGCTTGAATCTTATCAACATTTTAAGACGTATCTCATTTACCAGAAGCTCCCGTTAATCGTCTTAAGAAGTTGAAATTTAAACGACTTCTACTCGAAGACAAATATTTTAAATCGTATAGATTGACTGACGGAAAAATATACTATGAAATAAACGGCTCAATACAGTTGCGCGGTATTGCACTTCAAACATACAATGCATATTTTATAACTGGCTAGCACGATATTATATTACTATCGATGTATTACATCGCGTTGTCGGTCATAATTATAATTTTATTATAATAGCCCCGCCAAAAGCAGTATTAACCAAAAACGATGCTGAACGAAGTTCGATTAGTTTTTGATTTATTGAAGACTAAATTGAACTCGATGAAGATTTATTTGGAAAATTATATTGGCTGTGCGTTCAATGGTGTAACTAATATAAACGGCAAACACCAAGGTGTACAAGCTAAATTTAAAAGCATTTTACAAAGACATATAAAACGTGTTTTGTTTTTGTACTTATTTTTTTTAACGCATTTAAATCTGGGACCTTATATAATGATTTTGGAAACCGTTAAATATCGCAAAACATCCGACAGTGGACAAACGATTATGGAAACGCGAAAAAAACATAACTCTATTGAAGCATCATAGGTAGGTGCTATTTGCTCTGTTTTTGAATAATTGTCTTTTCTAATAAACCCACCTCGGGCAACGGATAGGTGTATACGTTCTTTTGATCGCGCGAGGATCGAGCGGCCCGCGGTGTCTACATAATAATAGTGCGTAGACAAGATAAACGGTATACGAGTGACGTTTTTTTTTTTCCTAGAGGGCTATAACATCGCAGAGATTATTTATAAGTCGGACAAGGTGGCGGTGATGGCGGCGGTGTAGAGGCCTCATAAATTTCACGTCGGATTACGCGTTACGACGACGACGACGAAAAAATATATACGCGGATTTTTCTATACACGAGCATATCCCGTCTCCCACGGTCGTCGTTTTTCGCGAAAATATGTTTCTTCGATCGAACCGCGCGTATTATATTATTATTGCGAATACCTATAGATATATCTATAAACTCTATGTACGCACATACAAAATGACGAGACAGCGATGAATCGACAAAAAAAAAAAATAATCGTTTTCTATAGGGAAATACATCTCACGATTACACATTGTCAGCGCGTTATATTGTGCGATGAGACGCCGCTTGTTTTCATCGTAACAATAATAATAATAAAGCATCGTCCCGGCAAAAATCCGTACCGAAAATAATAATAATATTGAATAATAACCCGAAAACCGCGGACGAGTTTGAATTTAACAACCCGAACTATATTTTAATTTTTTTTTTTTTTATTTGATAGAAAAACAGACGGGAATCTGTGTACGGAAAAACTATTCGTGCGACACTGATAGCGAATACCGCATCTTTAAAAAATCGTAGTGTTGTAAAAGTTTCAGTGAATTGAACAAAAGTTTAGACACTTCGTATATTCCTATGTTTAACTAATGATCTTGGGTCTCGGAAACTCGATAAATTATATCTGAATCTGAAATAACATATTGCAACCATTAGTCACTAGTTTTGATATCAATACTGTCAATTCAGACATTCTCGTAACTCAAGAAATCAAACGTATGACATCAGGCAGTTCCGTATCTAACAATTTTTTTAACCCTAGGCAAAATATGAAATTGGCGCCCATTTATTAATCACAGAATACAAAATTTGCTACATTTGAATGATTATAACTCGTACATAATATTTATAACTTAATTATGTTATGTAATAAATATTTTTATGTTGTAATATATTGAAAATTCTGAGCGTATTTAATACCTCGAGTGAGTACTCATTACTGGTTCATAAAACTGACAATCGACAGGCTTTGGATAGGTGATATAGAAGAAGAATTCGTGCGAATTACAAAAAAAATATAATCTCTTATCATTTAGCAATTAATGCTAGTTATAGCTACTAGTTCACAACCATGTTACGAGAAATGTAAAATGTCCGTAATAACCGTGTTTCGCCCAAATTGGAAATTAGCATGTAACAGCCTGGCACACCAAATACAATTGAAACATTTCTTGATAAAAATATTACAAAAGTCACCGGAAATCAGTGCGATATTGAATCGGAAGTCGTTATCATCGGTCGATAATATTTCTTAAAATAACAACTGATTATTCGGCGACGCGAATAGTGTATAACTTAACTATAATATTATATATTATCATATGCTTTATTTGGAAAATAGATTTTCAGCGACATTTCGGTTTTCGGTATATATTATACACATTTTTTCGCACTCACACATTTATTAATAACGGATTATTATATTTTATTATTTTACTGCAGCCTGCAGTATTCAGCTAAAGTCTAAACAATCGGTAGCTCTGTAAATTCAAATTTATACGCAAAATCCAATCGGTAGTTAAACGACGTGGGCATAAATCGTGTGACGCGAGAGGCCTTCAGACACAAATTTGGCCAAACCGCCATTGCAAACCTATAACATCGAACACAACACAGTCCTAATAATAACAATCTAAATTCGGAAGACGATAAAATGATCAATTGAATGATTGTTCACGCACGAAAAAAAAAAAATCTAATAGGTAAAATAAGACGTGTGTCTTGCGTACGTGTAAAAAGCATACCGTTTTATCGAATTTGGCGCGCCTGAAAATTTATCGACAATTTTTCGTCACGGTCAATCACGCATGTCGATTGTTCGCGTTTCCGGGGCTCGCGTTCGTGAATAACTACGTGAAAGGTTAAACCGGGTGGAAAACCACGCGTAACATTTTCGACTCGTGCATTATTATTATTATTATTATTAGCGCTGATACGGTAAAATAATATAATATAATAACGACCTGCTATTAAACAACACTACAATACGGCCGGGAAATAAACAGTGAGCGGTATAATAGTGTCAAACTCATTAGTGCTGCTACGCCGCTAAATCTTAACTCGGTACCGCGACTGCAGATTGCACGGTGCGCAGTGTACGTACATACAATCCGACGACGACGGGAGCAAGAAATTCATTAAACTCAAGACAACAATAGATGGACAATCGACTCTCGGATGGAGAAAGAGAGGGAGAGAGGACACTGACAAATTTAAGAGGCGGGTGAAAAGCTACTGTACCTACTACTACTACTACTACTACCACTACCACTACTACTATATACCACTACTTTAGTGCTGTTGCTGTTGCTGCTGCTGTTGTTGCAAAAAAAAAAAAAAAAAAAAAAACCCATAATAAAAGCAATAACTGAACGGGTCCGGAAAAGTTTAAAGAATTACCTAGATACATAGTATTTTGTTGTAACGATAGCGAAGCAGCTTCTGCGCATAATATAGACTTGGAGGAACGGACGAGAAAACATAAAACCGACAGATAGAGTACACGTACACCGACACTTGATGAAAAGTTTATAACAATATAGATATCCCCTTTTGTAAAACATGGAATCGACTGTTACGCCGTCGAATGTTTCATAAAAAAAAAAAAAAACAGGGTTATTGACCGCCAAAAATTATTATTTATATAATATAATACGGGAAAAGAGATTCGAAATTTCGAATAAGCGACCATATGATTTTTATGAACATTTTGATATGCGTTTGAGAAATCCATCGTCACGCTATAGTTAATGCGTAATAACTCAAAAAATGGGATTGTAAGCTCTACCAAAGGGATGAAAAAAAAAGTGATTTATGCTGTACCGCCGTAATACAATATTTTATAAAGATAGATAAAATCGTTTTTGTTTTAAAAATGTCTGCTTAAAATGCGTAAAATCTGATTTTGCGAGTTACTCTACTACCGTTCTGATAATGGAAATTATTTGTTTTCTCTGTCTCACGCGTAATAAAACAGCCACAAAGACATTTTGCATTTCCACGAAATTTTAACTATCTGGTTGAGTTTATAGCAAAGGGATCTTTTATATATTTTATATAGAAGAGATTTTATTTAATAAATGGCTTCCGAGAATGTTTTTTTTTTTTTAATATTTTCGTTTTTTATAAAGATATGCGTGTTTTAATTTCTCTTGATTTCTTTTAATTTAAAACATTAATTATTTTGTAAAGAATTGCAAATATTAAAATTATCCTTTGGCCTTAAACTAAAACGGAGAGTCACAGTCGTGGAAGCGCGAAAAGCATTTTGTTGCTGTATTACGCGTGAGACGGACAGATAAAAATAAAATATGTTGTGACTGTCGAGTTACTATTTAGACATCAGAACTCAAACGTGAACGTGTGTTTGTGGTATGCGTAAAAAATGAAAATGATACACCTATCGCCAATAAAATCGAGCTTACTCGAAATCATCAAACAGATCATTTTTGATAAATACCCGATAAACAATTACTTTGTTAATATTAGATTATACTCAATACCGTGGCGGAACGGACAGTAAATTTTCATCAGTCGAACACCGCAAAACAGTAAATTTTACTTTAATATTGATTCGAAAAGCACTAGGTCGTAATTTTGTTTAGTAACTTACTATTACCTTGATAATTTATTATTAAAAACGAGTATAAGACGAAACGAGCTCATTTACACTGGCACGCACTTTTTGACTCTCGATGCAAACAGAATCTAAGACAAAACCTCGTCGCCAAAATCCCGTGAGACAAAATATTAAAAAAAAAAAAAAAAACAAACATATCAAGTGAATATTTAATACATTATTGATAAATTGTATATTTTATCATGGATCTATAATAATATGGCCCTTATAATTTTTTATACAATCGAATATAATCATAACATTTATAATATTTATCGGTTATTTTTTTTTTACTTATATATTTGCGTTTTGAAAAATCGGAGTTTAATCGGGATTTTCGAATGTATAATTATAATACAACTTAAAACAAAGTTCAAATATAAAAATACATATATGAAAAGAAATGCCTATGTATATGCCCAAAACAACTTTTACAAGTTTAAAATAGTCCAAAGAAAAATTAATTTTTGATTTTCTGGTCTGATTTTACGCTGGTACATGTTTACAAATTTAAATTGTGTAATTAATATAACCTGAAAAAATGATATAACAATCGTTTTATAATTTTGTTAGGTTAATTTTAAAAAATTGATGTCAGAACCACACAGCGTTACGTTACGCCAACACACGCAGTTTGAAAATTGTATAGAAATTCGCTGGGGGGGGATGAATGTAAAAATGAACATATTGTAATTAATATCTGTACAAATGATATAAACAATAGTAAACATGTTCTATTTTCCAACGTGTGAGTGTCAGTGAAAGAAGCTTCAGTTAAGATACAATGTGAGTTATTTAAAGAGTTTTACTTATCAGAAAAAGTTTATTTGTTTTAAGAAAAACCACACACATCTTAGCAAAACTAATAACATCTTCGATAAACTCGAAATTTAAAAGAAACAAAACCAATATTTACCCCGAGAAAAATGCTCCGATTTCCTTCGGAAGATAATATTGTAAATGTTTGTTTTAGCCTACCTGTTTTTTTTTTTTAAAGAACAAACCCTTCGTTAGGGCTGTTGAAATTTAACTATCCCCGGCCACTGTAGTCGTGTCGTTAAAACGTATTTTTTTATAATTAAACGTAAATGGAAAATTGTTGTTTATCATACTATTATAAATAAAGCAAAAAAACCTGTTAAAAAACAAAATCGATGACTTCGTCACGCGTTAATTATAGAATGAAGTCGTTACGTACCTAATAATATTCATCATAATTATTCACGAATAAAGTGTTGAAAATAATTTAAAAACTAATGATTTTCGATAGTTTTTTTATTGACCTTGTAGTCGAAACAATAATACTACAAGACTGAGAACAATTTGTTGTATATATACAGAAAGCAACGGTTAATCATTGCAAAAAAAAAAACTAATTTTGAGTGGATCAAGTCAAACTGGTATGTGGTGAGGTTATTATAATTTAATTTGTGGCTTTTTCTCATAATTGTGATTAAGGTAATCCAGATATCAACAAATTGAAAGATTGGGAATCTTAACATTGTTTTCAAATAAAATACAACCAGGTGAAACTTCCGTGGTACAATGTAACCAATAATTGAGAATATTTTTTGTAACCAAAATAGTCGTGTTTTATGAGAAAACCCAACATTTTTATAAAACGAAAACACACGATTTTAACAAAAATGGGTTACCATTACAAATAAATTATTTTTCGTATTCGCTCGATCGATTTCAAACAACCCAGTTTAGTTATCTCTTTTTCCAATGTCCATATATATACATTATATATATATAACATACACCTTTTTTATTATTATTATTATTATTGTTTTTTTTTTTTTTTTTTTTGTTGTAATAAATAATTATTTTCTTTTTAGATTATCAATATTTTCCCTGTTTAAACGGATTATTATCATTATAATTTTTTTTTTTTTTTTGACGAAAGAAAAATGAATTGCAGCGCGTATTTTCCCCTGATAATAAAATTACTATTACTGAATTATAATATTTATTTTGAGATGTGCTCAGCGGGTAGTTAGTTTTTTTTTTTTTTATTAGATTTTAAATTACTTCAAGAGTATAATAAATACTTTAATTTATATTTTATGACGGACTATGAAAAAAAGTAGAATGCAGGAAGCATGGTATAATATAACGAATGTACAATATATAATATTATTATTTAAGACAATTTTTTATTTGTTTTTTTTTTTTAGTAAGTTTCCGATCAATGGAGTAAATTATTATGAGTAAATTATAATGGAGAATTATTTTATATAGATGCTGAGTGAAATTAGTTTTTGGAAACATTTTGTTTAGTTTGTCTATTTCCGAAGGAAGGGGCTATTATGATGGGAGATGGCCGGATGGGCAACTTTTTGGACGTTCGTTTAAGATTTTTTGTGAAGGGAGAAAACCCGTTTTGAAAATTTAATGATTTTCACACATTTCTCTTGAACTTTTAACACAGAATTTGATAGGTAATATTGATTGGATATTGAACGATAGTATTTCTGTTCTACTATATTGTTTGGTAGATATTGATCGCCGGTTTTTAAATATTTTAAAAATAAAAAATCACAAGTACCCTCGTCTGTGCAATATATTAACGACTGTTTTACTATGTACCCGCGAGTATATACGTGCGACGACGAAGCGTGTGTTGACAGAAAATAAGAAAAAAAAATTGACCGATAGTGAAATATGGCACGTCCGTCCGATAAAATAATAATAGCAAGAGTGAAGGAGGTGAGTAGTGGATTTATGATATTTACGGTCGATCGTTTTTCGTTCGTGTTCGTTCGACACGATGGTTTTTATGAAACGTTTATTGCAAACTATCAATATTTTATAATGTATACGATCAAAATGGCGGTTTTAAAAGTTTTTTAGCCGACCGAATCGTTTCACTGTAATATAATGTTATGATATGCATGGTACTTAAGGAGACTGCGCATGATCTGTTTTCTTACATGAAAATATGTTTTACAGGTTTCACACTCTCCTGTCTCGAAGAGCGTTCCAATGTCAACTTTTTTTTTTTCTCGAAAGAAGACTTTTAATGGCACATTGGATTTTTAAAATTACATTTCCAATATAGAACTTGATAATGACCAATGTTTCAGTGTTTTTAAAACTTGTTTTTTATTTTATTTATTGAGGTTTCAGTTACTTATACCAAATCAAAAATCATAGTCCAATGCACCTTGTAGGATGGAGCAGGAGTTTTAACATTGTAAACTACACTTTTCTGTTAAAATATATTTTGTTTTATTGTTATTATTCAGTGTAAAATACTCCTAAAGACCTGTAATTCGCTGCCAGGGGTATAGTACGCTTTAGACACGATACAGTTTCTAACATATTCTGGCGTTATAAGTATTTTTTTTTTTTTTTTTATAGTCTTTTTGAAATGTTTAGTTTTCTGCCGATACAATATTTCGGCTTCTTGAAATAATATTTGATACATTTATGACATATCATGACATACAGTTATAAACTAAACTACCGTATACGTAATATTAAACGTTTCTAACTGCCCATCTCCCCAGAAGTTATATACAAGAGTTGTAAAATTGTGCTAGCATTCCGCTAACATTTTTCAATTAATTTTTTTTTTTTTGAATTCCGGAGACTAGGAGGTTCAGACACCTGATCGCTCAGCGAAGCATTATTCAAAAGTTGCACACTGATTCACATACAAATTAAATGGTCTATAACTCTCCCCTTATCTAAAATTAAAAGTAAAAATCCCGTCAACGGGTTGAAGACGTTTTAAAAATGTCAAGACAAAAGTTTATTTAAAATAATTCTTCATCTATTTATGAAATTTTTAATAAAGGTAGCCATTTGAAAATCAAAAGGAAGTAGTCATTTCGCCCCTAAAAATAAAGGTAACAAAAAATAATGATAATTATATACTTTAGAGTCACTCGTTTCTTAACTTATTGAAAAAAAAAAAAAATAGTTTTAAAAAAGTCAACTTTTTGAAATAATGAGTGTTTCACATTAAATGAATCACTATATCAATATTGTACACTCTGTATACTGTATAGTACATATTATTTTATATAAATCACAACACTATTCTCAAGATGAACACTTATGTAAGTTACTGTCAACATTTTCGCTCATTATAGGCTCATTATTTGGATGAATCTGATCTAGAAGCCAGGTTTTCAATTTTTTTTTTTTTTTCACTGAGTTTCTAGTATTTTTGAACTTTCCCCACCTCTCGGGTTAACGGTTTACCATTAACCGATGTTTCTACCCTTCGTAATGGATTTTCAAGTGCGCAGCGATAATAATAATAATAATAATTGCCTTTGCTTTCAGTATAATAACATTCAGTGATAAACTTATCACAATAAGTCATAAGCGCTTTTTCGTCATCACCTACAGCTTTTTTCTCGCTTTTCAAAATTTATTCGGTACGGCGATGATGGTGATGATATTGAACAGATTGAACAAAGTCCTACAACGAAACGATCGTATTATATGTCGCGTATTATAATCGTTGATAATAAACTCGATTAGGAACATTTAATTATTATTCTACTCGGCCGTGTCGACCCTCTTTCTTTTTCTTTCTCACTCTCATTTTCTCTCACCCTATATACATAAGTACTCGGATATATATATATAATATCTTTGTTAAAAGTGCGTGGCATTAGTTTAAACGTCAACGCACGCCCATGTAGCTGAAAACGATCGTTTATTTTCAACGTCACAAAATTTGTTGATAAACAACACGGTCGTTTTAACGGAGTTCGTTGTGCTACACTGTACGACCGCGACGACAAAGTTCCCTTCCTTGCCACTGCTGGCGTACGGTTTCCGTTTTTATATTGTCGTCGTTTTGTCACTTCAAACATGCCTACGTTTCCGGACATTTTATATTTATTTTATTTTGATGAAATTAATTATATTTACAATAGAATAGTACTACAGTACCTCTTAAAAAAAATATATATATTGCAATATTATAACTTATGATTAGGTTCAGGGGTACCTAACCTAACCTATAATCTATAAGAATAATTGATAAATATCAAAACTAATTTTACTAATAACACACTAAGAATTGAGTTGATAATACTTGTGTTATAAAAAAAATATATTTAGGTAAACACAGATAGAAAACAGAAAAGTTCTAACTTGGTTATAATTTTAGGTAAAGTTTATTAAAACTTACAATGTATTAAAAACATTATATTACTATACATTTGATGTTGTCCTAACATCACTTATGTTAAGAAAAAAAAAAAACAAAACTGAATTTGCAATAGACGATGAAATATTAACAATGAAAGATAATGAAGATAGTTAGAACGTATATTTTTTAAATTAAATAAATCATAACTTCTCGTTAAATTGGATTTAGCTTTAGAATTTTATTTTATTTTGTTTTATGACATTAAATTTTATTATTTAATAATTTAAAAAGAAAAAAGAAAAAATGTAAATATATATGTTTTCTGCGATGCCTCTATGTAAAACTGTATACTTCTTCATAACCTAAATTTTGAAGTTTCTTGACCTAGTATTTTATGAATAAAATACGTAAAAAAGTGTTCTGAATTGAATAAATAATAATGGTTCATAATTAAGGAATCGAAAGACCAAGTTACGGCATACTTACTGTGACCGTGAAATATAAAATACACGTCTTTTTAGCAAAATAATTAATACAATCGAAAAAAATCTGGTTTTTGAGGCCTAATCTTGATTATAATTTATTCTTTATCTTAATGATGTGTTCTTATGTGCCGTTTTGGCGGTCAAAAAAAAAAAAAAAAAAACGAACTAAACAAATCATATTAACCACAACGTGAACAATTTTCTCATAAAACTTTGGTACCTATCTAATAACCTTAGATGGGTACTCGACCATCTTACCTATCTTAAAAAATAAAATTAAAAATTGAAAATCTCTCTGTAACTCTGTCTGTTTGCCAAAAAAAAAATTAATAGTTTTATTCAGATCTCATTAACATTCTGCACACATGGCATTCAAAACAAGTAGAAGGTCTTTTTATCTCAAAATTTAACCCCCTAAAAATGACTCGCGCTTGATTTTTTTATTTGAAACAATTTAGATTTTTTCGGTTGATTACGGAGTTACATCAATAACACTTATGAACTAAAAAGAAAAAACAACTATTATTATTTAATTTAGTTTGTAAATACAAGGAAGATTAGGATAAATATAAATTACAGCGATTATCTGATGTAGGAATAAATATAGAAACGGGAAGACGCGTTAAATTGAATTTCTTTTATTGATTTCTGTTTTTTAAAGGATTTTTACCGAGTAATTCAGCGTAAACTATAAAATAGACGCTACCAACGTCTATTGTAGGATAACCATACGCCCTATTTTGTGCAGGATTATCCTTTTTTTCATCTTAGTGTCTTTTTGTACAGATGTACTTCTTAGAGGATGCTATTTGTCCTGTTTTTTTTTTTTTTTATGTCAATGCCAATTATTCCGTATTAATTTTTATTTTATTTAATCAAATTTAAACATTTTATAGTATTAATATACACATTATAATTTCATCTTAATTTTGGATAAAACAAATTTGTATTCTTGAAAAATAATAATTACAAGAATCGATACCATGTTAAACGTAAGATTACGGCTAAGATACACTGGTATATTTAAAATAGTTATTAATATAGGTATAATTATGAAAAATTAACAACATAAAATTATAATAATTAATAAATATTACTTTAAATGTATAACTGAAATTATTTTGAACTGTTTTAATTTTTTTTAAAAAATAGGTCACCCTAGTCTATCGTAAAAATTCCTGATTGAACGGTATGATAAATTAATTATTGAAAATAAATTAACGAAGATAGGCGTTCACTGATATTTTCGGATTCCCTACGATAATAATATAAACGAAGCGATTTTTCGTTTTCCTGACTAAAATGTTTTTTTGTCAAATCGCAAACGACAATAATTATTTCATATAATGAAATATTAGTGATAATGTCATTTCTTATCGAGAATCAAAGACATAATCGGATTGATACCTAATTCGCCATGTCGTATTGTCAGTTGGTAGCCACTCCGGGGTCATATAATGGTAAAAGATAGAAAAGAGGAACGAGATAAGTTTCGAAAAATTTAATTCGTCTTGTTGGATTTGTTGTTTTGACAAGATAAAACGAAAAAGAAAAAAAACTAAAAGACGCAGTAGCTGTTGAAAACTATAATAATAATCGATTTTAGACTTTCAAAGTTTACCGGGGAAAATATTATAGAAGTATTATTTTGGGCGTCACGTACCGTCATAGAATTCGATAACGTGTGAAAAATATTATTAAGTCAAATGAAAATATGATGTATAGAATTCGCCTTATTTTGATTTAAAACCCTTATTTCACAAAAATTTCGTGAAAAAGACTACAGGCCAATAACCCATTTAGCTCCCCTTTCCAAATTTATATTTTATACGAAGACCGGTTTCAATGAAAACTTCAGAAAATACTGTTCAATATGATATTGTTCCTAGGATAAAATATTATAATATTATACAGTGATATATATTAAAACTAAAGTGAAAAATATATTGAAGTTACGTTTTTTTCTTTTTCAATGCATCCTTGATCCTTCTCAAGAAGCGTAACCAATATGAATACCAATATAATTTTGCTAAAATCCCAAAATAAGTAAATTAAAATTATGTACATATTTTATTCAACAACTTTTAGAGTTTCGAGCCGATAAATTTATATTCCATACACGTGTGAAACCATTTTATGGCCTCTGAAAGAAAAAAAACGCAATTTATCATATAGGAATGGGAAGAAAAAAACACTTGAAGAAATTGAGAGACCCATATTATCGTTCAGGCGCACATTTAACCATAAAACTCGACAATTTTGGCTCGGAATATATTATAAGAATAGTAAAACTAATTATTTTCTTCAACAGTCATTATGTCACAATGTCACCGATATGATTAGAACTCAGTATAAACAGAAGTCGTGTTATAGATCAAAACCGGGATCAAATCACGTGTATTATGGGATTTTATTCGATTTGTTAGTAATATTTTTGTTTTAGTTTTAACAATATTAAGGTTAAAATTGAAAACCATTAACAATAATAGTTTAATGTTTCATCAGGGCACGTTTATATTCGAATAATAAGTTAAGTGTGGTATGATTCCAACCTTCCACCAGTTCATTAAATGTTCAAGACATCACTGCGGTTTCCTATGTATTTTGGTTAAAATATCAAATATATATTATTTTTTTCGCTTGAATTTAAACTATTTTTTTTTCAAGAGACGTTTGTTGACAAAAAAAAAACCCAATTAAATTCTGTCCGATTTATACGAAAAATGAAAAAAAAAAATTATATTATATAGGTACATACAATAGAATATTTCAACAAAACGATTTTTGAAAAAGATTTAATTGAAAATACGCCGCCAGTACTATAGTGAGGAAATGGATATAAGATACCGCGAGAACGAACAAATATCGAAAGTTTGTTTTCGAAATAAGACAGCGGCAGACGACAAAGGACTGCTGTGGTAAGACGGTGAAAATAACAATACGGACAGAAGCGATGGGGAGAGTATGAAAACCATTTCAAATATAATATATTGTATAACCTACCTTGCAAAAAAATAAAAAAAAAATTGAAATAATTGCATTTATATTATACAGGTTAAGTTAACCTAACTTAACCTAAGCTGTTACATCATCGTTAAATTACGGAAGACAAAAGACAAAATAATTTCCGAATATAAACGCATAAAAAGAATATAATTATTTTCGAGAAACTCTAAAAATTGATTGAATAAAATAAACTAATACAAGTGAATCATCACCTAAAATATGTTTTTTTTTTTCATATTCCTCCCCGGTCACGTATTTACAAACCCTAAATCCGAATTCGGTTTAAGCCGTATAAATACACACAACATATCGTGGTTATACGCCAAGGACTATAAGACTCTTGCAGATTTGAGGTTTAAACATCGGACACTGAACGACAACATTCTCGGATCATTATCAGAATTTGATCATCCGGTATAAATTATTAAAACTTCTAAATCTCTTAAAACCAACTTGTTTACGTTTTGTATCAAACTCGGATAGTATCTGTAAATACATTCCCCGGCCGGTCCTGTTTTACTTTCAGCAGCAGATACGCAGAAATCGGCTCCTCAATAAGTATACAAAACTTTTAGGAAAACAAAAAAAAAACTCTACTCGTGGACTTGTTGGACGTTGTTGGACAATAATTGTTGAACACATTTTACGCTTATACCTACCTACGGTGCCGAGTACGTTACGATCAATATATTTCCATTCTTGTATAGATTAATAAAATAACCGATCTAAAGCCAATGGTCTATCTGATCGATTCGTTTTATTTTTAGAGATCCGTAGCCAGAATGTTCATCGAGTTCGTATGTCACGGACTTTTAATTCCTCTATTTTTCAATCGATTCTGATGAAATTCTACGAAAAAATTACTTGTGTAAATCATCATATAATAACTATTGGGTACTTGTAAAACAATATAGTTTTTTATAAACAGAGAACTGAACATAAACGCTTTCCGCGCAACCTATTGTGTGGCATACCGTCAGGAAGACCGTTAAAAATGCAATAGGGTATGATGTCAACGCGTTTTCTGGCTCAAAAATAATATGTCTTACAAAAAATATGCATGCCTCGTAAAAATAAACCAATTCTAACAATTAAACTGTTTGTTTTTTTTTTTTTTTTTAAGAAGAGGATATCGTACTCCGTTTTTCAATATTTGATAATAATGGATATTTAATAAACTTACTGTATAATATGTTTTCAAAAAAAGTCAATTTAAACTTTTTTTTATAATTAGCTGTCCCACCAGCATTACCCGTGCTAGAAAATAATATTAATTTTAGTATTTTTTTTAAAACTTTTTTCATTTAATCCATATCATAATAGGTAACACAAATACCAATAACTCCTTTTCAGCTCTCTTTTAGAGGTTAAATTGTAGATAAAATGTGTCTGTATGTTATTTCTGGTCTACAACTATATTATGTACACACCATACATACTATTTATATACTATATTATATGTATAATTTACAACTATACATTTGCCAAGTTTCAGCTCAATCCGTTTAGTAGTTTTGGCCAGAAGGGGTGATAAACCATGGCAATTCGTCCATCTGTCTACCAAAGCAAACTTTTGCATTTATAAAATCAGTAGGATTTGAAATCAAAAAAAAAATTATACATTTATATAAAATATGAACTGTAGAATGTTGTTTTCTATCAATTAAAAAATAAACAGTAAAAGTATTTAATTCACAATACGTATGAGTTATCCCTATCATTCTCACGATATCCTTCTGTAAACACGTCCTTACAACTTCATCTCGAATGAGTATTAGGTAGTAGATTGGTGGAAAACGGCTTATGGTATTAGGTTATTATTAATATTATTAAAACGTTAAAAATATTTTTTTTGAGATTGGAGAAAATTTGGAAAACCGATAACCCGGGCTACTTAGAATTCACAAGTAGTGTTTTTTATGCGGATGATGAATGTTTCGTGACACATTATAAGCGCCTAAAGTCGATTATAATATCCCTTATCGCTATACTATACAGGTTGATCAACATAATGTAAGACACTCATTATCTCGGAAAGTATTTATTATTTTTTGATTTTCGTATTTTAGATATTCTACGATAAATAATCCAAATTTTAAAATATTACATTACTGTAATTAATCTTTAATAAAGGTTGCTATAATCAGAAGTAGATAGTTGTTTTACCACCATAAATAAGCATGATAAAAAATAACGGTGTCCCGGGGAAAAAAAATGTTGTAATAGTTAACAGTTAAATATTTTTTAGTTTGGTTTGGATTATCTATTGTGTATCTACCGCAACTAGCTGTTTATTTGTTGTTTCTAAAGCTAATAGTTGTATATACTGTTCACGAATAGTTGAATAATGGTAATAAAAATGTTGCATAGTCATATATAAATTTAACTATTCAGTTTAGGGTAGTACAATTCTAATTTATAGTATTGTTAAACTTTCCAATATGGCTTAATATAGCCGTATAAAATTGGTCGAAACAATAATAATATTACGTTGCAAAAAAACAAAATGTAAATGTAATTGTTTTTTACTATTTCTATGCTGTAAAAATTAAATTAATTTAATTAATCATGACATAATATAATAGTTTGAAATTAACCATACCACACTCCACCCACCAAAGACTTCCCTCTTGCTGATTCAAAAGCAAAGAAGTGTAAAATATTTAGACATTCGCGGTTACCAAAACTTTGTAAGTACATTATTCACAAGTGTCCGGCAGTATCATATCCAGAAATAAATTAAGGCGAGGGGGAAGAGAACTAATTATTTTTTATATTACAAACTTTATTTTTACTATACCAGAACGATAAATTAAACAAATAAAAAAAAAATCTGATCCCAGAGCTCCCCCCCCTCCCGGCTACACTGATGTTTGCAATTCAGAGTATGTTATATTTTTAGAGCTACTTGTTTTTTATAAGTTAATGACCCTTTATGTTGTTTATTAATACAATAAGTTCTGTTGAACCCCAAGTCGGTGGGTGTTTAGATTCTGAGTGAAGCGAAGAAACTCATGATATTACAAAGATGTTTTTTTTTCTTTGGAAAATTTTTCTACCAGAAATTTTGCTTCGGTTTACAAGTGTAGCACTTTTTCTATTACATTGATAGCGTCTTTTCTGCAAGAAAATCTAACAGAGGAAGTACTTTAAGAATGTCATTTTTTCGATTTTCCCAGGAAGAATTCCAATTAATGGGAAAAAAGTGAAAATAGGTACAATATTAAACAAATATTATTAAATAATATGTATAATATCTATGTAATTATTTTACCATAATATGACAAATAAATTGTTAACAAAGCAACAAAATTAACAGAACTCCGTAGAGAATTGTTTTTTCGTTACCAATGATGTGTCGTTGCTTACAGACATACATTAAATTTTCCCTCTACTACCTTTCTAACTTCTCACCTACAACAGTGGCCCACCCTAGTACGAAGTTGCCCGGTAGTTTTATTTTTTATTTTCCTTTGTGACATTATACTGATTGGTGATTTTTAAAAATCTATGTTATACCTAATTATTAATTAATAGTTAATTACAATTTATTTGTTATGGAAATGTATAATATAAAGGTACATAACATTAATGTTATCGCTAAATATCTGAAACAGATCGATTGGTGTAACAAGCGTTGTATTAATATTATTACACCACTCTTTTATAATACCTGTAATATTATTATAGGTTCATGTTTCAATGATATTCGCAAGAGAAAATTATTTTATTCGGAATAAATTCATTACATTTATTCGATGTAACATCGTAAAAATATAATATAACATATGTCACGATACATTTCACAGTTTGTTTTTTTTTTTTTCTGTTATTCATCGAGAAAACATTAACATAATATCGGGAAATGCACTATGAGTCAATATTAATAAACATTACATAATAACACAATATAATAATAATGTTTCTTGATAAAAACGGAAGAAGAGATGATTTTTTCATATTCTTTTAGGGTTTTTTATTTTAAACAGAGAGTGTGAAAACAATCGAAATTCATTCTTATTTCGTTATTTTTTGCGAAACAATGATTAATAATATTATGTGTATAATTGTATATATTATTAATGCATTCGCTACATAATAATACAATTGTTCAAAAATTAAAACGCGTATCGCGTAATTTTAAGATTATTATTTATATTCGGCCGCGGTACTTAACGCTTTTAATTTATAGTGTTTTATTTTCGGCTCGACGAATTAAAATTTGTATGATATTCGACATCCCTTAAGTCGTTAGCCAACAACCAATTGACATATTACTCGTATCGACAGACATTCAAACAGTGGACTTATCGTCAAACGTTTATTAGAATATTAGTACTTAACCGCATTTATATTCAAGATTCTGAGATGCGTTTTTTCCCTTTAAAAACACTTCATTAAATACTGCTCGAATTTTTTCACGTTAAAATAGACGGGATTCCCGCTCAGAGATACTTTCGCTGGGAACACTCTTTAAAATTATCAACGGTTCACTCCCCAGGTGGTGCTTTTTTATTACACGACAAACACTTTTCTGGTTAGAAAAAAAAAAATACTCCAAATATGGTTTACCTCATATCGATCTCGTAAAGATTTTTCAACCCTCGGTCATACATTACCTGAACAATGTTTCTTAAAAATTAACACAACCAGTACGACTGTATATTGGTTTTATTATTGTTGATTTCTGGGATATTTTGGCTGTGAGGTAATACAACACAATTGTATTGTCAAGCCAGTCAACCGAGTTTTCTTGAGAATCGTTTTTAAATTTCAATTATTTATTGTTGCTATCAGTAAGTAAATTATAAATAACCCTATATTTTTTGACGAATTTCTTGCCTACAGCAGCTATAGTACGGGCCACGGTGTGATGTTTGTCCGGCTTCTTTTTAGATTTGTTTTTAACTTTTCTCTTACGTCTTTAGACTCTGTCTAAAACAATAACTGCTATTCTTATTCGAATACAAGTATATTAATTTCAGTTTTTTTTTATACAATATAATTGTATATTAATTGTTTACCTAACCTTGCAGGTGATGACAGATTGTATTCAATAGTTATAAAATTTAAAATATAAATACAAACCTTTGATACTCGTTTCTAAATTTCAGAGTGATCCATAACTCGTTGAGAAACTTTTTTAAAAGTTTTCGTCTAGGTTTGTTCTGGTTTTCGCGAATTATTATTTGTGTATTATAAAACGTAGAAAATATTTGAATGAAAACAACGCACACGGACGCATCGTCACTCTACCGTCTTCGTATGTTAACCAAAATATTTTGTTATGTTTTCGCCGGGCGTTGCACTTTTGAAATAATATTATATGGTTTACCTTTTTGTAAGGCCAATCGGCTGCAGGCACGGGCTTACTTGGCAGAATTCGCAGTGAACGGAAAAATAAGAATCGTCAGGGATATTATTTACTTATGTCCACGTGTTATTTCCGATCGATGTGCGTCCGTTCCGGGTGGCGTAACGGCGAGTAGAGGAATGTAGTATGTATGACGCACCTCCCCTAATGTGTGTGTAAGACGTGTGTAGGTATTAAAGATGGGAAGAGAGGACACAAATAAATCATAAAGGCTTGGACTTGACTCAGTTGAGGGCCTTTAACGGTGTGTAGAGGTATATATATAGTCAAAAATGTGAAAACAAAATGATATCGTCGTTTTCTATCTATTATGATGTAAAAGCGAAACATTAGTAGAAATTGATTTCAACAAATTGATTGAGAAATTTTGCATCTCACCGCCATGAGGCATCCACGGTTGGTGTAAACGATGACCCATGTACATTTGAATTTAAATCCGCAAAGAATGTATGTAAAAATGAAAAATTTAATTGAGTCGCGGATTTTATATGGTCGGATTTCATCGCATGTGAAATAACCGAAGGTCAAGAAAGCGATCATGAAAAGCTAACGATGTTATACAAAACGGAATCTCCCGAGAGTGTATCCCGTGGGTTATTTTCACGTGGATAGCGAATTTTCTCTCTCTCTCTCTCTCTCTCTCTCTCTCTCTCTCTCTCTCTGTATATATATATATATATATATATCTCCCAATTCCTTCGCAAGACAATATTATTATAAGCTATTGATATAAATAATATAACAGGCCCGTTGAACATCGTAAACTCGCTCGGAAAATTCGGTTCAAAACCGAGGTCAATGGATTTAGGTACGACGCCATACAATTTTCGTTTTTACACCTAGTGCATAATTTAAAAGAGTCAGCAGTGTATATAGGTAATTTCGTTCCAAAATTGTATTATCATTATATTCACGAGAATTTCTGGTCTATGGGATTGTGTCTGTAAGAGGAGAAACCGTATTACCGTGTGTCTTCTAAATTCATTTTTTTTTTTTTGTTTTTTTTTTTTGTGCTCCATAATAATCTCTGTCAGAGTGTTGGTTATTTCTACTTAGCCGGATTAAGGAGGATCAGAAATGAATATATAATAACAGATAGTGCGGAGAGAGTGAATATAGTGAGATATGATGTGAGCGATGAAGAAAAATGATGAGATTATTAAGAATATATAAGAGATTTAAGTGTAGATGGAAGCCGGGAACGACCAATGAAGTATTCTAGGTTAGGACAGGGTGTATATAGTAGATACTATGAAAATGAGACTATAAATGACCCCACTTGAGTGCGATCAAGATAATAATATTTAATAATATGGTTTTTATTGACCTTAATGATAACTTTCCCTAATTTACTATCTGATACATATTTAAGGGGAAGGTATACTGCAGTTACGAATATATAATAACTTAAAATAAACGTGAGCTTAATAGTTTAAAGGAAATTACAAAAAAAAACAACTAAAATATTTATCCTACAAGACATAGAGAAAAATTACACAAAGTCAAATAATTTTTCAAAACAGAAAATGGACTTCTGGAAGTACGTTTATTTTATTCCAGTTAATTGGTTCTAATGTATAAAAAAACGAATCATTTTAAATTGCTTTAATGTCGAATACGCGAAAAAACCATTTCACTTAATTAGAAACTCTGATAAAAAATGTACGCTATAATAATTTTTTGTGATGGATTTTTTTTTTTTTTTTTGTTTACAGATAGGCAACACGTTAATCATTTTCGCCGTATTCACAACCAGGCGACTCCGGACTGTAACAAATTACTTCGTCATGTCGCTGGCGGTGGCTGATTGGCTAGTCGGAACATTCGTCATGCCAATAGGCGTAGTCTACCATATTATTGGTAGGTATAAAAACGGTGTTGTAAACGTCAGAGTGGGAATTTTTCTCTGGTTTTTTTTTTTTTTTTTTTTTGTTCTTTTAATTATACTTCATCGTACTCTCCGTGTATTATATATTATATATACCTACTCTACTTTTTGTATTCGTCAGACAAATGGACGTTTGGACCTTTGATATGCGACATTTGGGTCTCATTGGACGTGTGTCTGTGCACCGCTTCGATACTCAGCCTTTGCGCCATTTCAATAGACAGATATTTCGCCATCACCAAACCGTTGCGGTACTCGAAAAAAAGAAGGTCCAAAAGACTCGCGTCGCTAATGATACTAGTCGTGTGGGCCCTTTCGCTGATAATCACGTTCGCTCCGCTTTTCGGATGGTTTGTATAAAATAGCGTATAAAGCTACAATAGGTATCTTAATAATTATAGCATACCCTGAAAAAAAATATATTCTAATTGTTTAATGAACATATAATTTTTATTGTTTTTTGTATTTTCCCACTAAATATTTTATGCAATAAATTCCCCCCCCCCGGTAATTTTAAACATTAAAGCGGCTCCTTCCGAACCAAATTACCTAAAACTCGGGAATCCGGGTTGTTTTATAGGGGAATTTGATAATATTTCGATAGAATTTCAGTATGAATTTCACCGTGATACTGTTGCAAAAATGATGGCGTTTTTTTAAACTCAGTACGTTTCTACAGACCCCGAAATTAAGTCTTTAATTAATTTAATTAAGTAATCAATTTATTTTATTTCATCAGAAGAAAAATTTAATTTTACAAAATATTTTTTTATATGTATATATATAATATACAGTCTCACGAAGGTTAAATTTTTTTCATATTTTTTTTTTTTAAACATTATTCATAGGGATAGTTGAATTAAATTTTTTTTTTTTTAATAAAAAAAAAATTAAAAAATAACTATTTTTACTAACTTCGTGATTTTTCATCATTTTTTAAAGTTCATAGAAAAAAGGTGTAGTCAATTAGACATAATAATAATAGTCAATATAAGCAGTATGCTGCACGACCGATGTTTAAATAATATCAAAGTAATTTGGTATAAACTATATTAATAACTGGTATTATTGATAAGTATAGATAATAAATCGTTAGATAGGTATTTATAAATAATTGTATTATCCAATGATGTGTTTAATAGTGGTATCAACGAACAATTTATAAGACCGGAGTATGTTACCGAAATAATATCATTTTCGGACAATATTACTTAACACTGCAGGGACCTAATTCTCAAACCCATACGAACAGGATCCCTATACGAAAACTGTTTTTTTCACGCGAATTTTCACATGATAAGAAGACGTTGTATTCCCAAAACGTATCCGTATACAAATTAGTTATGTTATGTGGAAAACATTCATACGATTGCTTCTGATGGGGCTAGGCAGGTAGATACATTTTTTCGTATACGGATCCAAATTATACTGATATTAATAATAGTTTATTCGATTTTCGCCTTACAAATACGTTCATAGAAATATAATATAATATGTCTGACGTCTATCACGCGGTGTAAAAAATAATAATTATTGTACAATCTACTAACTCAAAGCATGCTTTCTAGTTTTTTATTGGACCCGGTGTACAATTTAGTATATCGCTGAATTCTTCCTATTTTTGCATACTAATAGCAGGAGTGAATGTGGTTGGGTGAATTTTTAAAAAGTCGACCATTGTCGACTTTTGTTAATTTGTAACAGATTGATAATTTTTCATTTTTCCAACATTTTCAAGTAGACAATAAAGTATAACTACTTAATGTATGAATAAATCGTATTATATTCATATTATTAACTGTACATACCTATTCAATTTGAATATTAGCAGAGAGAAATATTACGAATTATGATAAATATGAAGCAAATATAATAATAATATGTACTACAGTAGTTACAATAATATTATTCAAATGAAATAGGTACATAAATAATTAAGCACGTCAATGTTTACATAGAATTATCACATTAAACCTTTTATTTCCATAAAAAATCGAATATTTTGCGACGTTACCAATATTCGTGGACGGGGCATCATTATCCTATGAACGATAGGGGAACCCAGATTTGTAAACGGATACAATCAGTTTGAGAACACAATTTCGCATTCGTTTACCGTATGTGAATAGTTCGTATACGGATCCTATTCGTATGAATTTGAGAATTGGGTCCCAGGTAATCTGTAATTATCACCACTAAACCATAGGACATGACATTTTTTCGAACGTATTCTCTTTGACCAAACGTGACCATAAACATTTTGATATAGTTTCGGTGATAATTGACAAATCGTAAATTACGCATTCGGATTTGGGAGTTTCGGACCGTTGTGAAATTTCTACTTATTTTGACCATTAAATATACGTTGCGTCAATACTTTAAATGGGTTAAACGTAAATCTAATTTCCTAGAAAAAATCATAACGAACAATATTTTATTCAAAATATGTTTGAAACTATACATACGTACACATCATATTATGATAAATTATAGTAATTATTTTGTCATGACTATCTTTACTTTTTTAAAAAATTGTTCATAAAATATATTAGGTAAATAGAAACAAAATTATTTAAGAAATAAAACATCAAAATATGTTTTAATAGTCTCAAAATTTTAAATTATTTTAAAAGAAAAAGTGGCTGAATAAAAGACGATGCAGTTTAAAATACAATATAGGTACTAGGTACTACACTAAAAAGTTTTATTTTAATTTAAATATTAAAATTACATTTTTGTTAAACTTGTGAGCGATTATAAATACCTATGTTAATTTACTTTATATTTAATTTTTATTTTATTAATTTCCTTTTCGAGGATTAATTTACTAATTGGATGTCGATGATAAAAAATTGAGTCAATAATTATCTCACATAACTTATCAGAAAACTAATAATTAGGTTTCTGAAGTTATAGGAGCTAAAAAAAAAACAAAATGCGTATGCAAATATGTATGAAAAAATGTTAAATATGCAAACAATTATTTAGCTTATTGGTCAAAAACATACGGTTTCATTATTAATATGCAAAACTAAGATACAGATTAAATACGTATCGCGCCGTTGTCGTTAAATTAATCGTAGAATGAGACGGTAAGAAATAATAACAAAATAACTACATTAAACAATATTGAATTTTAAATTTAATATTATGTAGAAAAAATTGGTCAAGAAAGAAAAAAAAATCATTATTTTTAGTAAATATTAAATATGAATAAAAATATGCAAATATCAGTGAAAATCTACGAAATATGCAAAATATGCATTTTAAATCTTAAATTTTTTAAACTCTCCATCGTATAGAAAGTATTTCTAGCTTAGTCTGCTATAAATTCAGAGCATACAGAAAAATATGCAACTTCTATAACTTCCGAGCCCTACTAATAATTGTGCCTGGTTCATCTCAAATAAAAAAACAACATTATATTAAATAAAATGTTTAATTATAATTATATAAAAAAAATAATAATAAAATGTAACCGGGTAAACTCATAAAAAATATTGTTAACTTTAAGTTCTTAGGTTATAATAATGTTTTAAATTGAATAGATAATTTAGTTCATTAAGAACTTGTAATATTGAGTATTATCATCGGAATTAATTATTAAGCATTATTATAGGTCACTTTCTCTCTAAAAAAAAAAGTGATATCTCATGGTAACATAATTTTTTGATGTAAAAGTAATACCTTCCAAAAATAAACATGTAATTTTCTGCATGCCATAATATGTGACATTTAACTTCATTCTGATGGTTAAATTGTTTGAAACATTTATAAGATTATTGTATTATATGTACATGAATACTATGCTAATTTCAAACCGTTACGTATTACTATAATGATACTTATAGGTTTGTTTTGATCATTTAACCAACAAATATTAATTTAAATGATTTTGTGTCAATTTTTTTTTATTCTTGAACTAGAGATACTAGTGAAAGAAATGTGGCATAATATGCAGTAGGCTCTTGTAAATCCGACCATAGGCTAATATGAAAGACACGGTAATCTGAATAGACTTAAGAGCGTTTTATCAAAATATAGGCCAGTGTTGAAAAAAAGTAGCTGAATAATTTAAATGAGTATCTAATAGTAAAAATACGGATATACTTTGAACGTGGATGTGTCACTTTTATAGGTGAGAAATGTTGAAGATAATAGAGGGGAAATTTGATGTATATCTGTAAGCAACAATCAAAAATTGCTAACAAAAATACGATTCTGAACGGAGTTTGCTCGATAGTGTTATTTTTTCAGCAATATATATTTCATAATACGATAAAATAATTATATATGAATTATATATTTTCTCTGATAATATTTGTTTAATATTGTGCCGATTTTCCTAGTTTCCCTACGTTTTTCCTGGTATCCCATTGTTTTATCCAATTATTGAGAAAATCAAAAAATTACCTCCTTAGAGTATATCTCCAATCAGATTTCCTTTGAGAAAGAAAACGCTCATTGTAAATCAGAACAAAATTGCTGGTAGAAAAGTTGTCAACAGAAAAATAAATGGCTATAACTTCGTGGAACACCCTGTATATCAATTACTAACCCTGCAACGGTAGTCGGAACTTTTTCGGGATAATATATTATTATTTAAACAAACACGGGACAAACGCTTTAAGAGGTTTCTTTTCTTTTTTCCTTTAATTTTTATCGAAATTCTCAGTTTTGCCAGCCTAAACCGAACGAAAAAAAACCAAAAACCAATGGAAAAATATTCGCGAGTATAAGCGTTTAATTATAAGTGTGAAAACTTTTCTCTATTGTTTTTCAAATGCATTGATTTTTCATTACGTTTTAAAAAATAATAATAATAAAAATCACCATCGACTTTACCCCGTCTTTTCATGCCGCCGCCGGCATTTTAATTTCATTTTCTAAAGCGAAACATATTATTCCTCCTACAAAATCACAAGTATCGTAATATCGAATTTGTATAATATCGTATTTTAAAAGCGTTCAAAAGCTTTCACAAAAGAAGAACGGTGAATTGACAGGAAATTAATTTTATATTCCCAGAAATCACGGTGCCCTATAAATAATACTTACTATTCACGCCCGTCGAAAATTAAAATCGTTTTAAATATAAACTATTGTGGTTTCAATACTCAATATTGTACCGTGCGCCAATACTTACACAGAAAGATCGGGTTTTCATTGTTGGTCATTATGCAAGGGGACTTGAACAATAATATTATAATATTTTATTTTTTAACCCTTATTCACACGAATTTTTGTAAATATTTTTTTTTTTTTATCGCCATACGTATTGTTGGCAATTTACGAAATGTAAATAATACTAATATTTCAACGAGGTAATTAAAATATTTTAATATACATTTGTGAAGGAGAAAATACGTATACAAATATTGATATGCAATTGTTGTTCATTCCACCACGAAATAACCAGAATAAACACTCCAGACCTGTTTGATAAACATCCAATATTTCAAAATCATTTATCCAAGTGACCAGTTAACGATTTATACAATTCCCTTAGTTACGTAATTTCTAGCTGCAAAATTCTTCACATCATTACTTGTAAAGTGTATAACCTCAAATTGTATTGATATTTCACACTCCCCACACGTCGTTATCACATTCATATCGTTGTTTTCTCCACTTTTATATTAGATTTCTAAATTACAGTATAGCATAGATAATAAAAACATCCGGGAACAGCTCTATACAGAACTTCGTCAATAGAGTCGAATTTTTCCTTACGCACCTGTTTTCTATTGTAGGGATGTTCTTTGGAAAACAATAATTAACCGAATATTATAGTAATATTATATAATATTTGACTACAAATATTTTCTACCTGATTTAAAACAAATAATATATCGACATATAAGCATACAAATAGTAGAGTGAGGATAGTAAAATGAAACCACCTAAAGGCACCATTAATATATTTTGCAGTGGTGCATCTAGGTCAACAAGGTCCCCAGTGTCAAAGGCCCTAATTTAAGTTTTTTACGTTTATATTTGTGAACANGGAAAACAATAATTAACCGAATATTATAGTAATATTATATAATGTTTGACTACAAATATTTTCTACCTGATTTAAAACAAATAATATAATATCATAAGTAAATAATATAATAAGTATTTGATAGTTTGAATTTTTTTGTTTAATAATCCATTTTAACACAATAATTGTTGGGTGAAATCTGCAAAAATGTCATCATTACATTATAAATGAAAAAAGTCCATTGAAGCCTTGGAGATCTCATATTATCAGACATTTTATTTTGACAAGTATTGAATCGTGTACTAATCGTAGACACTAATCGAATATAATTTAACAAAAACAAACATTTTCAATAAATAAAACAATTTCGGTAAGACAGTAACTAAGGTCTGTCTCTAGATCTTGACTATAGATGGGCAAAATAGTTAAATCTAATATTAATAATTGACAAGAAAAAAAGATGGACATAGTTCGCACGATTGGTGAGATGAGAAGAGAAATTGAAAAGGTATAGGATATTGAGGAAAATTTAATATATATCTGTACCTAAATAAATGTAAGCATTGCTAACAAAAACATAGACTAATCTTTGAGTCAATCCTATGGGAGGAGGGGGCGAACCATTTTTACTCTTGAATACCACCGTTTTAGTCAACAAAATTTTAAAACCTTTATTTCTGATGTCATTTCAACTTATATTAGCTTAGAAAACAGCAGATATATTGTACAAATGCAGTAAAACAGTACAATAATTGTACTGTTTTAACTTTTAAATTATTTAAAAGTTAAATTTATTTTTTTCACATTAAATGAATAATAATTAAATTAATGTTAATATGAATAACAATAATAATAATAGATGGCCAAGTCCAAAATACTTTTATTACAAGCAGCATTTTGATCAACAATATTTTCTATATTAGTGTTTTTATTTTAATAAATATTTAAAATTAATAAGCCAGTTAGCCTCTGCTCAACATTTTTTTTTAAGCAAAAAGTACGACTTTTAATGAACCCCGTGTTAAATTCTCAAGCATTTCTGTTTGGTTTGATAATTTTACTCATAGAGTAGTTACTAAATAAAAATTATGCACAAAACTTGCAAAATTAAAATGTCAATAATTTACTTAAAAGTTTTACCACATCAAAAAAGGTAAATATAAATATAAAATTGTTTCTGCTCTTACTGAGATTACTGACATTTACTCTTCTTCCAAAAAAAAAATATAATTTGTATAACAAAATATGAACTTCCACTAGATTAAGTAATCATCAAAATGTCTATATGTTTTAATTTAAGTCATTTTTTGACCAAAGGCCATATAGTTGCCGTAATTTTATTTAATAAAAAAAAAAAATAATAATATTATATTCGTACTTTTTTACATAATAATATGCCCATTGCCCACTATATTGTACTTTATAGTTACTAATGTATCAGTAATTTGTTGTCCATATTTTGTGAAATTTGAATCATATATTAAAATATGATTTTTATATAAGTTATCAAATACAGAAATATAAATATTATTTTGCGTCACTGATATTTGGCATCATTAATTGTACAAAATTATTTCATTCCCATTGGTTTCATTTGGGGGATCTGCAAAGGTGTTCAAAGACAAAATGAAACATTTTCCAACTATAATATGGTAAAACTAACATTAAAACTCAATCCGATTATTAACACTTCAATTTGCTTGTAAAAATAAACGCCGCTAAAACTCTAATAGTGTCCAAAAGTATCGGAAAAAGATAAATGTACGAATCAGTCAGATGCAATAATAGTCTCAGTTTTCAAACAAATTTAGCGAAAACATGGATCATAGAATATGTCGGCCCACCACTGAAAACTGTAGTCATCCGAATATGGCCTCACGTGTTTAGAGCTATAGTTTTAATTAATCATATACAAGAATGTAAACAACTTTAATAATTATCAAAAAATCAACTGTAATATTTTATATAGGTACGACGAGACCCATCACAAGGACAACCTCTGCTCTTACAACCAAAACAAGTGGTACGTGTTGTTTTCGGCGATGCTATCGTTTTTTCTTCCATTCGGAGTCGTCGTATTTGTTTATTTCAAAATATCGCGTGTGATCAATGAACGACACAACAGGCTGGAAGCGCTGAATGGGCCGAAATTAAAGGTAAATATTAAAATATTCCTGGGTACTGTAACAAAATAAATATTTATAATCACACATATTTTGTTGATATGGACACCCACTCAAATATGTCTTCACCTCGCCTATTATCGCGTAGTTCTCGAACACTTCTAATGGCCAACATTAGATGGTAATAGTGCAGAATTACAACATAGGACGGTCGGTGTGCAAGCAATGCGCTTACTGAATGAAAACGTGATACTGCAATAGCTTGTGTTGGTTTATGCTTGTGATTTCTATCAATTTTTCGCCCGAAATCCTATTTATAAAACGAAAACCGACGTAATAAACGAGCTGTCAGTCTTTTATAATACAGCGATCCACGACGTTGCGGTAATTGATCCGCAGACGACGACGCGGTGTTATAATTATAAAACTATAAAATAAACCGTGTTTGCGTTATAGAGTATGGTTTTTTTTTTTTTTATATGTATAATAATTAAACTTAAGCTGTCGTTGGTAAAAAGGTCGGTTACCCCGTCAATATCAAACCAAATATTGAAAATAGAAAGGGCTTTTTATATATATATATATATAATGACGACGAAAGTAAATTAAAGTATTATAATCCCAAATTTATAATTACACGTGAAACGCAGGTTCTGGTATTATTTTAATTTTAATAAGGGGTGTTTTTTTTGCTTTGGTAAACAACTAGGTACATAACAAGAAAAGTTTATGTGACCCGGTGGCGTATTAACGTTCTTTACGTGAATCGAACCACAGATGTAAATGAAATCCTCTCATTAGCCAGATATGGTGTTATTCATGTAATTTTAGGTTAGGTTCGGTCACCTTTTAATACAAATTAACATACGTTTTATCGGGTTTGAGTACAATTATTTGCAACCTTTCCCCATGCTTTATCTAAACTGTCCTGGTTTTTCATCGACTAGGTTAAGGGTGTACACTTATTAAAGATAAATCACTTAATTTCGATATTTACGGTTGATATTACTACAATCGTTACGCGTTTTAAATCGAATTCAGAACTAATATTTTTTAATTTAACAAAAAAAATGTCTTCAAAGATATTTTTTATACTCGACTTTTCTTGCGACGCTATGGTAAAATATAATAATAAATTATAAGTTGCATAGCACGGAGGTCTAAAATCTGGGCGCGTTTCTTCAAGTATTTCTGCACAGCTGGGAGCAATTTAAAGAAATCGTGTTTTAATCGTTCGCATTAAACTCATCAACTTGCCGAAAGTTACTAAACTTGAGTGATTTCTCTGAGATGCTTTAAATAATATGATGCACTAATAAATGCTTATTAGTTTGAGTATATCATTTTCTTTTTCCCGATTCACTGATGATTTATAAATGTATTTAATGACATAGTAAATAATTTTTGTATGTTTAAAATTTCTATATCAATATTTATCAATCAAAATATTTTCTTCTCTTCGTCTGGCTTTTAAAACTATATGAATATTCACCTCAAAAACAGTATCATGCCATCTATTCCTCCCTTGGACCACGTTTCTCTAGTATTCCATTCTAAAATTTCTTAAACTCTCTTCGTTAATGTCGATCTACCTTTTCTTGTGTTTCTTTCTCTGAAGCTTCCATTCTAGCAATGCTCTAACATTATCATCCTCTCTTTTCCACATTATATGACCTGTATCGTTATAAACAGTCTTATTAGCTCTCATAAAACTGGTCACTGGGAGACCAAGTCTACAGTGATGTAAAGCTCACCCTAAACTGTAACGCAATTAAAAGGGGTTATACGGGCTGAGCTCCCTCTGTATCTTCTTGAGTCCCCTCATTTTTTTTTTAATATGTTTTTAATATTATAAGAATTCGATCCAAGGGTTATAAGCTTAATTACGCAACAAATTCATATTTATCGCCTATTATTTATTATTTTGCTATCAAACAGGACCACACATTCTTTTCTATGTGTTGTTTTCGAGCTTCTTCGGATTCCTTTTTGCGTGACAAGTTATTTCGACATGGTAGGTCATGATGAATCTGACAAGACCCACGCTTTTAAATCGGAATATTTTAACATGGTTGTTAAGTAAGCCTGATCGACACGATAACAGTTATTATTATGAGACTACGAGAATGATAGTAATTATCATCATATGAACACATACTGCAATTTAATTTTACTGTTGTGTCGCACTTTCACAGAAGTTTCTATCGATATTTACGCTACTGTTATGTCTACTGTTATGTCTAATATTATACTATAATTCTGCTCTATAATCGTATGGACGCTGATTCTATGATAAGATTTTATCAGGGTAGTTACAAAACCAACTATCATGATAACAATTATCATCGTGTCGTGGACCAGGCTTCAAATGTATTAATATTTATTTCGAACTAGAATGTTGGTGATTTGAATTTCGATGACGACGCGTGGATCGTATGATAATTTTCATAAGTACGTGATAGTTAACCGGATTTCATCAACGACCTGAATGTATAGTATTTATTTATTTATCAATTTATTATTTTTATCTTCTTTAAATATCAACGACAAGAACGTAATAGACTGGTCGAATTGTTGATAAATGTTTCTATTGTTTTAGAAGATAATGTTTAATATTTTCGATATTTTTCGCAGCTTAATTAAAATTCAAAATTTTTGTAATTCATTTTCCTAATTATAAACGTGATATTTCCAACAAAATATTTAAACGACCACCAGTATTATTATTATTATTGTTCTGACATAATCGATAAAATGTATAATAATATATTAGAAATTCGACATAAGCCTGATAGATTTCTCTGGTATTACTCGTTTAATTCATCCTCCGTACATCCTCAATCGTACATTTCTTTTCTCCTTTATCAAAAATACGTTCCTTAAAATATTTTTTTAACGAGATTTTGGATGAACGAAGTAAGTTTTGAAGTTTTGCATAGTTCAATATTAAAAACATAGTGATGAATATATACGAATATAATAAGATAGGTACTGAAGACGGTAAAAACTATGTTGATTTTTTTTAACCTTTTTTTTCCTTTTTTTTTTAAACAGGAATAATAAAAGTTCGATTTATCTACATATAAATCCTACGTAAATCTGTCTCGAAACTGATTTTTATTAATGGAATGCGTGCAACTTGACGATCATTGTTTGTGTAGCTAGTGTTTTATTTGAAAATGCTATCCGTTTTAAAGCTTTTCGGGTTACAAACTGAATTATAACAAAAAGAAAACCTAATCGATTTTTATAAAACATTATTTGTTCCGAGATGTCCCCCGTTATCAAGATAGTTACAAGAAATTGAAAAAAATAATCACTCCATTTGCAAACGCGAAATCCGAAATACTATAAAAAGCTTTTATGAAGTTTTCGATCATAGTAAGTATTTTGATCGAAAACTTGTTTTACGGATTTATTATTTTTTTCGAAACACACGTCATTATTGTGAATCCGCTTTCTAATGATCGTTATAAAATCGTTATCATAACACGTTAATATATACGGAAATCCTGTCAAAATATGACAATACAACGTAGTGATGGATATGATTTAATAACGAGATTGGATATTAAAGTTTTCATTTGAAGCCGAACCGTTAAGTATCACCAGCTCGTTTCAAATATTTACGATATAAGAAAAATCCGTTTGAAGGTCTCTCATAAATAAATAGAGGACTATTGGCTATAAGTGTTCGAGGGTTTTTTGTGACTTTCTAACAGCTCCAGCATCCCGTCCTGTAAATCGCACGCAGCTATAGAAAAAGACCACAGAAAAAATCAATTTCAAGTTTTAATACAAAGATATAATAATAATAATATCATAAAGGGAATACCCTACGTTACGTAATAACGTTCATTTGAAATTAAAAACTCGACTTCTTACAAGCTAAGGTTTAGCACGATCCGTTTTTTCAAAGGCGGCACAGGATGTGAGAAAAAAATGTAGAACAAGACCGGACCGAACTGATGAATTAATAAACAATGGAACCGGACCAGACCAAAATATTTTCTTCTTTCTCTACTAAAAAAAAGCGTGATCAGACCGTGTTTAAAAACAAAAATGTAAAACTTGACAAAACTGACACTCATTTTTTTAAACTTTTTAAACTAAAAAGGACAGAATCAAAAAATAACTTTGTTTGGATATTACATTTATCTAAACAAATATTGCTGTATACATACATTTCGTATTACGTTTCCGTTTCATGCTTTGGACAAAAAATTTTGTAAAAACTAAATTGACATTTTCACAAATAAAATCCGTTAAGGCGATCAAACTGAATAAATTTAAAAACTTATTTTCAAATTGTATACGATTGGAGAAAATTTCGAAAACCGTAAACCAATCCCCTTTGAAATTCTATTACCTAGTTTAACATCAGGAAAACCGACGGAGTTAAAAATGAATTCCGGATTATTATTTTTGGACGAACTACTAAAATTGTTTTCCAATTCTCATTTTTAATCAAAATATATCGAACTATACTTAGATATTCAATATTTCTATACGTATACGATTTTCCGTGTCGTGGTATAGTAGGAAAAGTCTTGTAGGTATTATTACTCACGAAAAATCGACCTTCCAGACTGCTTGGATACATAAACACACTGAAACATACACACGCATGCGTATGTGCTATTTATTTCAATAAACATGTCGAAAATTGTTCGATTCTATCGTTGCAGCTCATAAATAACACCGCGGATCGAATCGAATTACCGCGACGGAAACCGATAAAATCTGAAACGGCTCGAGAATGTCCACTCGATTGTAAATTACCACCGTTAGAATGATCGATAGACGGTCGTCGAATCTATACAATAACGGATACGACAATTATTTTGAGTTAAAAACACACATTCGCAACACGGGTTAAACGCTTTAAAGTTTTAAGTCAAGAGAATTTATTACGCGCCCAGTAGAGAAAACTTTGTGTATATCTTATCTCGCTGGAAATAATGATAGTACCTATATTATGTTGTATCAACGTTTTTTTTTTTTTTAAATCCAACGTTCGGGAACAATAATAATTTTCAAAAGATCATCGAAATAAATTATTTAGGGCCGTGGCGCACAACGAGTTAATCAATTAAAATCTACCCTTGTCGGAAACGTTTTTAATTAATTTTTCGTTTTTTAATTCGGTAAGATATAATCGTACAGACTTAAAAAAAAAAACTTTCGTCAAATATGCTTTATTAGCTCAAGTTTTCACAAATATTCCGGACATTGTTGAGCTATTTATAGCCATTTGAAATTATGTTTATTTATTTGTTTTAGTTTTTATTCAGTATTATGCGGATTATATTTTGTTCGTTTTTCAAAAATGTTTACACGTTTTATACATTGTTTATCATAAGCTGTTCTAAAGCCGTAAACAAATATCGTAAATCCATATTTACGGTTTTTTTTTTTTAGTTTAAAATCAACAGTATTTCAAAAGACATTCAAATAAACTTTGCTCGGAATTTTTTTTTCACGAAGTTGTCTTCTTCTTCTTCTTCTTGGTCTTCATTTATTTCAGGTCGGTCATCCCTGTCCTAAACTTCCACTTGATGTGATCTTCTGTATCGTCCTCTCATATCCCTGCCATCCTCATATTATTCTCAGTCGCATCCAATCACATCTATTTTTGGTGTTCCTCTCCCCCTCTTTCTTCATACATCTATTTTCATTGCAATTTTTACTGATATTTTTCCGTAAAGCTACAACATTATTTTGAAGTTGGGTTATATTTTTTTATTTAATTGTACTTAAAAAAAAATAATTATTAGAAAGTAATTTAATTATCAATATCTAATTATAGTTACCTACTTGATTTCTTTTAATAAATAATTTCAATTGACCTTAAGATATTTTATAATTTATATCAATATTATAGAACACTGCGACTACTAAAGGGGGAAAAAACAGAATAAGTCCCTCTTCTTTTTTAAGATAAAGTTTCCTTTTGTTTGAATCTTCGATGTCCTGAGGGACGGTTTAAGTTATGACATTAACTTAAGGGGTATTATTATAATGTAATTTTAAAAACTAAAATTCGTTTTAGGTTACATCTTATATCCCCATTATATCCAAGCGTTTGAACTGTGTAAGTATACTATAGTAACATTATAATTATTGCTTTGGTTGACAACTGTCAAGGATAGATATATACCAGATGATCCATTTAACAAGGGTACAATTATCATCGGAAATTATTAACTTTTTCCGGAATTTTTTTCGTAAGACATTTAAGAAACAAGCTACTCCACAATTTTACATTTTTGTTATTTTTTGTTACCGTTATTTTTGGGGGTGAACCTACTACCTACTTTTTTATTTTCAAATAGCAACCTATATTCAAATATCCATAAATATATAGAGTATCAGTTAAGATAAATATGAGTGTTAAAAAGTTTGATTTCTCTCAAACCGTTGACGAGATATTCCATTTTTAAATTGGAGGAGAGTAGTAGAGTATTATCTTTGTAGCGGTACGGCGCGTAGCGTGTTAATAATGCACCACTATTTCTTAAATTCTATTGTTTGGAATACTTCTAGAAACTGGAAACTATGCACGTTTGTAGAATGGGCTCCTAAATTGTTATTAAAAATAAATTCTTTAACAACTTTTGGATTCTACGAAAACAGACTCTAACTTTATTTGCGTCAAGCAATGAGCGCACCTATATTTGTAGAATAATATTTTTATGAAAAGGGACATGCAGTTTATAAAGAAATGTATGCAAGAAAAAAATGTTTTAGAAGTTTTGTCTCTACGATTCAGTGGTGGGGCGATAGTTTTATTTAAGGGCCGTGGTTCAAGGTATTTTCAGGTGGTGGTGATTATTGGGTAAGAGGTTACCAACTTCCAGGTGAATGAAAATATTAATTATGATACTTTAATTATTTTTTCAAACACAGTAGTGCTAATTTATTACTATAGTAGAACGTACAATAATTAAAAAAATTCTTTATTAATTTACAATTATAAATCCCTACCTAGATACCTATAAACCTTTAGTAGAGTAGGCATTACTGTGAGCTGCATAAACAAAAAAAAAAAATAAAAATATGATTCATATAAAATAAAGTCGGTGGGTATCGTGATGAAATAAAATTAGCCTAATCAGTTACAACGATTTACCACGCCACTATTAGTATATAGTGAGGGTTTCTCGAAAGTTTAGCTGAGTTAGGTCAGTTCTCGGGAACGCCGGTCAATTTTCGGTAAACACAATATCCATTACACTCTCGGAGTTTTTGCCACCTCGACTGCTGGCACGACTACCGGAATAAAACGTTCGGTTAGGTTAAGTTTCAGTTTATTTATAGACGACGGTGCCATGCCCTTCCGCCAGACAATTATTCGCTTGAAACCGCTACGTGTGACACATGTGTCACGATACCTATATTATAGGTAAATATATACGAAATATATACATCTAAGGTGTTTGTAAAATCGCATCATGTTCGTTTGTATAAAGATAAACTCGAGCACTGCGCGATAATTGTTATTTATACGCGTTTAGATTAATGTTCGCCGTGGCCACCACCGACGACGACGACGACGACGACGAGATTAAATATTTAAAATCCATTTGCAAAATGAACGGTGAAAATCGTGGCGTAGATTTCAGACGCGCTTGCGGTGAACCCGCAGTTGATACCGTGGGGGTAATTGACGATTTATACGAATCTCGTAGGTATACGCGGTTACCACAACAAACATTTTCCCCTTCCGTTATTATTATATTGTTGTGCGGAGTCTGGGTGACTTTAAATCTTTTGGCCTAGTATCTGGCCGATGTCCATCACTAATCAAATATTATGTTAGTACTGTTATAAAATATCGACCTTTTAGAGCGTTTTCCAGCCAGTCACACTCTACCGCGCACTAAGAGCGCATTGAGTGTCATTGGAGTGTTCCATCTACCAATAGGTACCCATGTGTTTGCACTACCCCGGTATAATGTGTTCAACCTTGAGAAACCGTAAGAAAAAAAAGACCTAATATGGTAGTTTTTGTGACATTAATTCACAATGACGCCACATAAACAAAACTGTAAACCACCGAGAACAAAATTATGGCAGTTTTAAATCTTCAAAACGTGAGCCAAATATAATTTGTCATAACGTAATTTGTTTGAAATTTAACAGTTGTATGATATAAAAATAAAAAAATACAATATTTCCTGACACAAATCTGTGAGCTGAATTTAACTGAAATCGAACATTTGCACCATTTTATAGAATTTTAAAGTAACATTTTTGATCCAATTGTCTATCAAACGTGAATATACCAAATAACAATAGCTATTTTGTTCTAATGGTCTGTTTTATTAACCGATTTCGGAATTCGTTTCTTACATCGCGTTGAATATATTCGCGAGAACCAGGCCAACACACATTCGTGACTCAACAAAACGTTATAGTACTGTAACTATTCGCGATGTCCGAAACACGACACTGGTGGAGAAAAACATATCTTCGTATATTTTTTCAACGCAATTGCCACTCGTTTTGTTGTTTAATATTATATCCCTCTTCCAAAACATTGTTTGTTTACATTACGAAAATAAACACTTCAAACTATCTAAAAATTCAGCCGCGGATAGAACTTATAATACATCAGTGAAGAATTAATTCCTATTTGAGCCACCTATAATTATCGACAAAAGACCTCCACGCGCATTATTATCGCTATTATAAATTATTGAATAAGCCGAGTTAATTTGACTCCGCCTTTTAACGGCCGAACGGCTTTTGCGAAAACGTTCGTAAGCTTTGGCCGACTCGTCCTACCCCCGAGTTCATCACACCCACGAGCCGCCTTGCAGTTGACCTCACAGCGATTAGAAGCTCAACCTTCGCGCCGTCATTGACTTAATTTCCATGCCGTCCTAAACGCGGATTAAAAACACCTGCGATATCGAAACAAAAACCTCGTTTCGCGTTTTCCCCGTGGAATAATTTTCGTCCCTACAAAAACTTCGCGCCTTTCGATTTTTGAATTGTTCTTATTCTCGCTATACTATAAAAACAAATACCTTTAGTACGTTAACATAGGTATGATATTATATTATATTAAAACGAGAATAATTTATTATTTATCTTGACGGAATAAATTATTATATTCTCCTTCGTATATTATACGAATTATTGCATTACGTTGTATTATCGAAATATTTTATAAAACGAAAATAGTATAGTTGATTTTCAATTACCACGTAAAAATGCCATAATAGATACGCATAATACCTCAGTATTCGTTATTATAATACCAATTTTAACGATAATATCACCCTAGTGAAACTTTTAACAAAAACAATATGTCTGTACCGTTTTAATGAATACCCATTCAATATACATACTTATGAAGTCGTGATAAAACCTGTAAAATGTTCAGACTCGACTTTGATGCTGCGCTTTTCATTTTGTTATAATCATTACACCCGCCGGAGAAAAGTTAATGCGGACGATTTCATTATTATTTGCACACCGCCTGAATATTTGTGCGTACGCCGCACGTTGAGACAATTTAACGTAAGGAAATAAATTATTTAATTTCAGACGAGGTAACGTGATAAATGATCACACGAGTTCCATGTCACCATCACGTTTATTATATTGTATACAGGAATCATTTTGCCGAACGTCTAATAATCACGACGCATCAACAGTACGAAGATTTAAGAATATGAAACGAATATTTAACTCGCTTAACTATTTCAAACCAATTTTTTTTGTCTCGGGAAACGCTTTACGGTTAGGATTTTATTATGTCGTACAAGTACTTTTAAAGATGCGGGTTTTTCACTTAATGGATGGCGTTTCATTGATTTTCTATTTGTACTTCTATATATATATACATATGTATTTTTTTTAAATAATTTTATGGGTGAGACGCGGAATTTCTGTCTGTTGCAAAATGATTTAAAAACAAAAACCGGTGGCCGAAATGTATGGATATTTTCAGCAATTCATTCAATAGATTCTTTATTTGTTTGTTGTTTGATTTTTGTTGATTGATTTCGGGATTAGCAAGGTGCCACCCAGTGGTATTACCAAGGTTACCCGCTGGTATCACCGAGGAAAAAAAACGTCCGAGGATAATGGGGACGGATGCAGCTACTGTTGTAGAATAATTTAATGTATACCTGTAAGTAACAATAAACCATTGTTTACGAAAAAACAATTCTAAGCGGAGTTCAGTTGATAGTGATATTTGTCAACAATATATATATATATCATTTTTTAATAAAATAATTAAATAGGCTTTATACATTTTCTTTTATAATATTTGTTTCATGTTATACTGGTCCCAGTATTCCTAAGTTATTCCCAGTTTTCCGATGTTTTATCCCGGTGTTTCACATTTGTTGGAAAAAATCTTGGAAAATCGAAAAATGACCTCTCTGAAGTACCTCGTAACGAAATCAAGAATATTCATTTTTTAATGAACTAACAAATATGCAAATATATTACAACAATAATATTTAAAAAGAAAAAAACAAAATATTTCAGATATTATACAACGGGGAAAATATTATGAGTAATCATAAACTTTAAGATTGTTTAATTAATCAAGTTATTATAATCGTATTCTCGATATTTTGTTTTAAAACTTTTCTAAAAAATGTTTAGGTTTTATAAACTTCTCTGTGCCTAAATTTGCCTTTTCCTCTATACAGCGTATAAAATGCAAAAATAAAAAAATTAAAATACTTCTCAAAAAAATTAAAATATTATTAATGATAATATAATATGATTTAACAATATATTTTCAACTAATTATATGTTGATTTTGTACTTTGATAGAAATTATAATGAAATTTTGCGATTTCGATGAATATAATCAGTATATTATTATTAACTCATTGTGAATATTTTATACTGCAAGTGTAAGAAAGTGCAAGCGTTAGAAAATGCTATCAAGTTGGTATGAAGTCGTCTTTTTTATTTTTCTCTTAGTTCTCTTAATAGTTTAGAAACATTTGGTAATGTGGATGATAAAGTTTCCAGTTATTTGGATTTGTATCGGTTGTAAATAAATGAATAATAACTATAGAGACCTGATATTTTTGCAGAATAATTATTTATCTTGGCTTTTTTTAAAAGAGGTAAAATTTTTAAAGTAGATTTTTCAAACTATTCATAGTTAATTTAAATGTCTAGAGTTTGGACCAGGTAAAATGTTTAAAAATTTAACATATGTTTTATCATAATTTTAACTAGGAAATTATAAGTGATGAAGTGGCTATTTTATAGGTGTTTCAAATTTTGATAAAAATCGTAAAAATCACGGAAGATCGAAACATGTTTAACCGAATTTCGCTTATAATCGTTTTTTGCTTACATTGATTTATCGTCGTGTACAGATATAAATTCTGTTGCTCTATAATATTATCTAATATAATACTTATAATAAAATGTATTCATAAAAATTCTTACCTTTCCAACTTCACCCCTAAAACAATGTCACGGCAACTAACAGTATCAGCTTTTATCGATTCGGAGCATAGCGAGAATCAGGGGTAGTCCTAGGAATCATATTTCATATTGACATGAATAATATATAGGTATACTTAAAACTAGGGTTTAGGACATCTGGCATTGGTATAATATTTAACACAAATACTATTCATCATTTAAGGAATCTAAATCCTACATTTTGTTTTTCATGTATGTGCATATTTAACAGTTTTTAATTTGTAGAACATATTGTAGTAGTATATAGCATTCAAATGTTATAAAAAGACATAATATAATATAATATTCATATATTATCTTACTGTATGTCACGTATTATACACGAGTTTTTCGATTTATATTGTTCAAATTCATACTCACTGATGTGCGTTAGCACAGTCGAATAGACTATGATAAAATAATTCATTTAAATAAAAACAAGTAATAAGTTAAGTTTGAATAACTTTCAAATTATTCATCTCAAAACACAAAGTTTTTATGAAAATACCATTAATATAAAAAAAAACATAAATAAATAAATTAGTTATATTTCAAGTTTTTAGTATACAATTTCAATAAGAAAAATTTGTTTAAAGCATATTTGATTGTTTTTAAAAGCAAGAATGTTTTTTAAAACTAGAGTCTCTGAGTCTACAGTTAATAAATGTTTTTTTTTTTTTTTTTTAAGTACGCATAGGAAAACTAAAATTGTTGTTAAAATTTAACTATGTAACTGATCAGTAATGCTCGATCGTTCAACTAGTGTAGACGTAAGAAACACTTATCTGTTTTATTAGCATTTTTTTTTCGTATTTATTTTGGATAATTACACGCTTGTCTCGATCACATATTTATTAAATATAATGAGTATTCAACAAGCTTAATAAATGCATGTGTTTTGCAGACAGATATAACAAATCATTTCCCCATTTGTGTTTCCATTCCGGTTAACTCTAATTATAAATCTAAAGAATATAATATTATTAATTTAATTAATAAAGAAAAAATTTGAATGATGTTAAATCAAGAAAAATAGACTAACGTGTATAATAATATTGATGCGAATGAGTCTTATTCTGAATTTAAAAAAAATAATTTCTTATGTACTTGATAGATCAACGTTTTCTAAGGTTGCAAATTCTAAAAATAAGCGTTTGTTTGACAAAGGGTTTATTGTTGTCTACTCGGTAAAAGCAAGCTCTTTCTTTAAAATGTAAAAAAAAAAAAACCAAACAACCAAAATTTAGCAGTTTATTATAAAAAAATATAAAAATAATTGCACTGAAATATTAAGACTATCAAAAATAAAAAAAGATTTTACGAAAACAAATTTAAAGAAGTTTCTCATAATCAAAAATTAACTTGACAACTTATAAACAATGTAACATGTACTAAACCGGATTATAACAATAAAACAATTTAAACAAATAAAATTAGTAATATAATAAATAACGACAAATTAATTGATTCAAATTTGGATCCGAAAGAAGTGTCTAATATTTATAAAGAATGTTTTATAGATGTTGGAAAAAATTTATCAAGGAATTTTTGTAAACTAGCGAAAAATAATCCCATAAATGTTAATAATAATGTTTCATTTGATAGTTTTCTAATAAAATTGAAAACTCGGAATTAGTCAAAATTGTAAGAAATGTTAAAGATAACACAGCATCAAGTCTTGATAAAGTATCGATTAAATTAATTAAATTTATCATTGAACTTATAGTTACACCATTTGTTTATATTTTTAACTTAAGTATACAGCAAGGTTTTTTTCCAGACAATTTAAAAGTAGCAGTTATCAAACCTTTCCTAAAGGGTGTAGATGCTAAAATTATTAATAATCACAGACCGATATTTTTGCTTAATAATTTTACCAAAATATTAAAGAAAGTTATTAAATCGTGTTCAATTACATTTCTATGTAAAAACAAACTCTTATCCGCAAATCAGTTTGGTTTCAGACCTGGTATAAGCACGGAGAACGCTCTGTTCAAAACGACGCAATTTATATATATTAATAACGGTAACGAAGTGATAGCTGTTTTTCTGGACTTAGCTAAAGCTTTTGATACAGTTAATAACACGATTTTATTACAAATTTTATTAAAATTTAATATTAATAATTTGAGTCTAAATTAATTTCGTAGTTACTTACTAAATAGGAAACGAAGAGTTAGGATTAATGACATTTTTAGTCAATAAAGTACTATCCAGTTCGGTATACCTCAAAGTAGCGTGCTAGGCCAAATTTTATTTTTATTGTACATAAATCAGGTTTGTGATTTTAATTTTGATGGATCGACTGTCACATATGCTGATGACACATATTTATTATTTACTGACATTTCTTCAGAAAGAGTTCATAATAAAACCACAGTAGGTTTAGACAAAGTTTATAAATGTTTAATTGGTAGAAATTTAACTCTAAATGATGAAAAAAACAAATTATATAACTTTTTCTATAAATAAAGTATTTACACATTTTAACAATATAATTTTACATAACTGTAGCGATGGCATAGTTTGTAATCAGCTCAGTTATAAATCTATCGAGGCAGTGACAAAAATTAATTATCTGGGTATTATCTTTAATAACCATTTAACTTTAACTTACATACTCATGATTTAGTAGGTAAATTACAATCTTTAACTTATAAATTTATATTACTAAAAAGTTTGATTCCTAAACAAACAATACGTATAATTTATTTTGCTCTAAATCAGTCAATTCTTCAATATCGATTATTAGTATGGGTTCGTTTGGGTGTTAGTGTAGTAAATAAGCTTCAATCTATTTAAAATAATATTGTTAGAGATTGCCTAAATAAATGTACTCGAGTAAGTTCAACTATGTGAAGGAATATAATCTGAGTGTATTTCCAATTAAATCCCTTTATAAAAATGTTGATATTATGTCTGTATTTAATCATTTTATTAAAGGCAATAACAGTAATTCATTTGATAAAAAAAAAGAAATCACAGCCTATAACATTCTTGATAAGTATGCGAAAAATGTTTCGGTCGATTTTTTGTGGATTATCTAGGCCCTACGTATTTGAATTCAACGCACATTCAATAAAAAAAAACATCCACGTTACCCAAAGTAATGCTAAAAAGATATTATATAAATGATTATTTTTAGACCTGAGCTAAATCTATTTGTTTCTTTATTGGTAATTACATGTTTTAATTGATTAATATTTTTTTTTCTATTCATCTTAGTTTTAGTCAATAATATTTATTCTTATATTTTATTTTGAATGTACCTATCTGTAGTGTTTTTCTTATTCGTTTGTTTTAAATTAATCAATATTGTATTACTCTCTATCTCTATCACAAACTTGCTTAAAAAAGATAGATTAATTATTAATAATAATTAGTAATTGTATAAATAATTTACTATGTAAATGTCTAATGATGATTAATAAAAAAAAAAATTGTACGGGGCATATAACACACATGACATATACTTAATAGTTATCTATGGGTAACGCAATACATCTTGTAGAAATCTGATGCATAACTGCATATCCGATCCTGTATTACTAAATCGTATTGTCATTCAAAATATACCAATATACTGTATTATACAAAAAGGTTTACCCTGTTGATTATATATAAAATATAGTAAAAATTATAATTTTCGCCATCAATATGGTCCAAGAGGGGTGTTTGAACACTAAAATACACACATATCGCTACGCCACTGATCGTGGTGACATCGTCGGGTTAACCCATTTGCGTGAAAATACCACCCCATTGACAGTGCACAATACAGTATAAGTAGGTACCCGATGTTTAAACGTTGTAATAAACCCTACAGTGTTATATACGCTTGCAGCATCACAAAAGTCATACCCAACCGTTCTGCGGTGTTACACTGCACTGTACTGCGCTGCCCCGTCTTTTATAAAATATATTATTATCTATTATAAAATAATTTCGACACGTAAATGACCGGAAAACTTTCAACGAACGAGTATTATTATTGTTCACTGCCTACCGGTCCCGATTGTTACAAAACCGCATATACTTAGATCGTCTCGGTCGTTAATGGGGCTCGAAAAAGTGCGCAAACTCCGTTATCAATACCGACCTTTGGACGACCGCGGCAGTAACCACGACTTTCCGTTTTATAACCGACAGCTGCGGCTCGCGACGGGTAATAACCATTTATTTTCCGCCGTATCTCTCGTCCATAAAACAATAAGTACTAGGTTATGTATTATAGTTATGGAAATATTTTCAAAACCACACTGTTTACACTCCGATATGATGGCCGCCAGAATTGTACTACGATAAGATTCGCTCATAAAACTTCAAATAATTTATTACCTGTGTTGAATATTAAAACCGACGTTAAAACGGCTAGAGATCAAATTATTTTTGGTATCAAAATTTTATATAAACCATGTATTTCACAAACGGTTTTAAACATGCTATTTGATACGAAACAGCCGCCAATGTTTAAAATCGCACCATCGACAGTGTTGTGTTTTATCTATATAGATATATTTTTATCTTTCACGTTATTCAGATAAATGTGAAACACAGAATAATAATAATAATAGCAGATATTTTATCCAGGACACGAGATTTGTATTTATAGTAATGAAATGTTACAGCGCCGTCATTACGGAGAGTCTTGGTGCAATTAACTTTTGGTGGCACGTCCCAACAATGTCCCCTAAACTAGTACTGACCGAAAGACAAATAATCCGCACTCCGTGCCTGTAATATAACATTTCGTGAACAAATCTCCGCAAATCCTCCAATCTTGTCGTGTCCAGTCCTATATATCTTAGTCCGCGATCGAAAATAAGTTATCCGAGCGGTTATATAATACGTATATAATATTATGTATAATATAATTGAATCATTTATTCTTATTTCTTCTTTTCGCTGTTAGCTCTATTAGGGAATTCTAATGAATCAACTCTAAATCTTTTCTCGTAGCTTCTCTCCATTTCGTCCCACGTCTTACTAGTGCTTTTGTCGATAATTGTTTCTTCTAATGGGTATCTACATGTTTAATTGTTTTCCCATTTGACCTCTAAACACGACCAATTGTATTACAACAATTTAAGCCTTATGCAAAAAATTATAAATTAAATTATCCTTGCTAAATATTATATACTGCCATCCCAGCTTCACATCTACAACAACGGTGTGATCCACTATCGCGGTGCGAAATATGTTTGCTTTTATTGTTTTGTCACCGAAACATTTTACCAATAACTATTTTTTGCGATTTAAACTAGATGTCTAATTTAACGACGACGGCGATATCGCTGTATAATAATAATTTTCGTGCGGAATCACACGTTTAATGGTCGATCGCGTACATCCAGGGAATTTCTTTATTTTTATTTTATATTCTGAGCATAGTGAGGGAGCTATTGGTTTTACTAAGATGTTTATTTCTTTTTTCGTTCTCGTCTGTGGACATGATTTCCCTATTAAACTTGCTCCGATTTTTATGTGCAACACTTTTTCTAAAAGCTCAAGTTGTCTAGATAGTACTTTAGATGAGTAATTTTTTTGATTTTCAGCTTCATTTTATAAATGAAAGCACTTATGTGGAAAAAAATATAAAAAAAAACGTACAAATTCACGATTTCATTATTTTATATAAACACGGACGACGTTTTCTACCGGAAAAAAAATGATTTAATCGAAAAATTATAAGATACCATTTTTGTTGCCTTTTTAATTTACTTTCTTAAGGATCATTTCCAAAACTTTTGAGCCACTTTTAAGCTTTTAAGGAATTTTAATTTTTGGGAGTATGTTGCTGTAATTCAGTTATAAACACACGTAGAGACTTTAAACTGGGTAATAATACTTATATTGGATAATGGACTTACCTAGGTGTGGTTAAATTTCCAAAATCATCGAACGACTTTTTTTTTTAAGAAGGGTTTTGAAATCAAAGTTAAACGAAAATTGCAAAAAAAAAATACGGCACTTAGGTTAGGTTAAAGATTATGTATTACCAAACTGCGCTTGGAATCGTCTTTCGTCAAGCAATGATTTATCTTTGCTTACAGATATAAATTAAATAACCTTATACATCTTTCCTTACCAACTTCTCACCTACAACAGTAGCTGCTCCCGTCCCTAGCATCAGCTCTTTTTATTTTTGTTGCTATTTTCTCTAGCCCTGCTCGTCACGTTGCAGATTTCGATCGCGTTTCCGAGGCATTACGGCTCATTGTTATACTATTATGCACGTATCACGAGCTAAACAATAATTATTACTATAACGATAATATTCGGAGAGGAATAATAATTTATTATATACATTTATACCTATTATAGATACCGCGGTACAGTCGCGAATCGATGGAAAGGCCGTCGGTGGACATGGACGAAAGCATGCGCGTAAGGTAAATTATAGACATAATTCCTTCAGCGTGTATCGATGCAACGACATTTGTTTTCCCGGTGTCACGCGCAATATAGCGACAAAAGCGTTCAACTACTTTTACTAAAAAATTACTACTCAATAACTCGCGATTTCGACTATCTCTGGCCGAGTTCAAGGCAAACAGACCTTATTACACGTTAATTTTCGTAAAGAACAATGTTGAATACGCCTTTAACGAATAATTTTTCTCTTAATACTCATATTCCTTAACGAGCTGTTTAAAATCATGTTAATTTAAAACACTCGTATGTGGATTAAAAAAAAAAAAGATGAATATTTACAAAAATCATTCATAGAAGCTATAGCGGTAATTACAGTTCTTTATAAGATGTATAACGGGTCACTTCGCTTTGCTCTGAACTCTGAACCAGGGAGTCGCGACGGGAGCGGACTTGCGGAATTCTATTGTCGCCGTATTGCGCACCAGGAGAACCGGTGTCGATATAGTAGCCCCTTAGCGGTTCGTTCGTGACTTTGATGTGTTCGATTTGTGACAGTAGTCTGCGGAGAGGTGACGAATGCCGGGTGTCGCTCAAGCGCGAGAACAAGACAGCGCAGACGCTGTTCATTGTCGTCGGAGGATTCATCGCCTGTTGGCTGTTGTTCTTCATCGCGTACCTGATCACGCCGTTTTTAGCCAAGGACACCATACCGCAGTTTGTAATGAAATGGCTTACGTGGCTGGGTGAGTACCTGTTTTTTTTTTTTTTTTATTTTATCTACAGTGGAACGTCGATAAGTCGAAAACATTGCCTTTCCTAAATGTCGACTTATCCGGGTTCCACTGTATGTTATAACATATTATCGTAAAATGTATAACTGCGATTACAATAATATTATGCATTTTGCATTTAGTTTTCCCAAAGCCCGTTTCGTCGTGTAATTTTGAACGCGAAGAAACGAGATTTTATTTACGATTATTTTAACATTTTTTACGATTTTTGGATGATCTGAAATTCGAATTTTAATTCGTTTTTAGAGAATTTTGCACGCTGAAAATATTTGTTTAGTTCTTTATATGTTTTAAAATAAAATGCATACTTTTATTTTGTATTTTTTGACAATTATCGATTTGAATGTTATCTTTTTCTTTTTGGTGCATTATTTGGCATTTTTATCACAACCGTGGGGTTTTGCATGGACCATAAATGCATATTACATTCTAAGTCCCAATAATAATTATTATTTTCTTCGTCATCTTATATATTCCTGTGAGCTTCTTATTTTTATTCTCACTCCTCCGCCTCTCCGACTTAAATCCTCTCTCTATTCAATACTAATTTTTTATCTATGCACCTTTTTTGTTTTTACTTGGTTACCCTGAAATCGGTTAATCGACTGGGACGGCATGAATAGGTCATTGCATCCTTATGCGGTTATAAAACAACTAATACATTTTGGTATAATATTAATTTTATTGTAAAAATATAATATTTTAGTCAATTACGGCATAGATTTAATTGAAAATTAATTAATTTGAACAAAACCTTAAAATGCAGGTGTGAAAGATGACCACTGTTAAAGATATTTCTTTTTTTTTTGTACATCTTTCTCTCTCTGTATTTTTTGTAAAAGAAAAATAGAGCTTTTTCTCTTACAAAAAATATGGCAGTGTGGTATAATTATTATTATTGTTGTAAATAGTATTGCAAAGCTATTAATAAAAATAACCATTTCTCTATTATCTACAGGCATTGTATACTGAGCTCGTAATATTATAAGAGAAAAAAAATTATACACGTGTAACGTTGAAATCGTTTTTCTAAATTATTTATGTGCAAGCGACGACCCCAGCCCCTTTACATGGACAATATTGTTCGTTTATTGTAGTCACGTCGTTTTGGATGCAAATAAATAAATTTTATTCAGACGTATCAAAAAAACGCTATCAAGGCGTATACACCCGAATATCGTGTTTGTTTGTATTATGGACGTTGCAAAATTGTAATCGATATTCGATTACAATCGTTTTTCTATTTTTCGAAAGTTACCGAACAAAATATAATCAATTTCAGACACAAACAACAAGTACCATAAATTATTATGCGCCGCTCTGCAATATAATACCTATATAATTTGTCTTATTACCATATATAAGCCATCAATATTATACAACTCCGTCAATTGATATCAAATAATGTTAAACTATTTTTTTTAATGTCGACAAAATACTTATTTATAAAATATTTCATTATATTATTTTTTTTTGTTTTTACTTTTATTAAAACAGTACAACGTATAGAAAATCGTAATATGCAGTTGCGCAAAACACGAAAAATGTAGCAAAATCGAAAAATACGTAGAAAGAACTTGAAAATTTACTAAAATAATACCATTATTGTTTTATAAATGTAATTCAGTTTAAAATATTTTTAAAGACTTAAAATGCGATGGAAAACTTTGATTTACTTTTTCTAGACGTGATAAAACTTTCAGAACATTTGAGTCATTTTTGAGCTATTTATAGAAATTTTAATTTTGCTAGGTTTTTAAGTAATTTTAATTAAGTAGATACTCTGTAAATAAATTGTTAAACTTATTAAAAATTTTTAAAAATTTGATAGGAGTGTCATTATAAGTCGTACTTAGTGGTAAAAAAAATTAGTTTAATACAGTATTTTTTTTTTTTTATATATATACGAGTAATAATAGTTTTAAAATCAAATTTTGATGAAAATTGTAAATATTACTACCTTTCAAAACATGTATCATAGAACTTCGCTTCGATTCGTTTTTATTTATCAATGGTTTATCATTAGTAACAGGTATAAATTAAATAACTTAATGTATCCCACCTTCCCCACCACCCACCTACAACAGTGGCCGCACCCGTCTTCAGTATCAGATCTTTTTTTAAATAAGCGTTTAAAGTTTAAATTTCAATGAAAAACGTAAAAATAATGATATTTCAAAGCATACATATTTTTTTTAGCAGAACTTCTCAAATAATCGTTTTTTAAACAACGATTTATCACTGCGTACAGTTATTATAAATTATATAATTATAAATTTGATCGTACTTTTCCAACTTCACACCTACAACAGTGGTACATAAGCAATATCAGCAGCTCTTTATTTCGTAATTATAGAGATGTTTTTTTTTAGAAAATCAGACGCAAGTTATATTGTTTGAATTTTTGAACTAGAATAAATACACCATCACGTTGTATAATACACGGTTTTAAACACACTCGAAAAAAAAATATGCAATAAGAAAAATTAGAAAGTCTTAGTTTCAGGGAGACGTGGGGAAAAAAAATAACAATGTCAAAACAACAGTTTGAATATAATATGATGTTATAATTTACGGGTGAGTAATATTATATTATTTTTTTGCAGTGGAGTGTGCGACTGCTATCAGTTACGACGAAAAATCACAGAGTTTGGGTACCGAAAAAAAATCTGTATAACAAAATATAAAAAAAAAAATCGAATAACCTAATCCAACCTGATATAACAATACTATTCTACAGTATATAACTATAGCTACACGATAATATTTAATGTATTTGAAAGATGAAATTCGATAGCGAAAACAATACGCCAATAAAGTATAGTATTGTTTCTATAATATTATAAAAAAAAATTACATAAAATAAAAGATCAAAACAATATTTTATATACGTCTATATAAGTAGAGAAACATATTGCCCGAAACGGAAACTATACAGAAATTGTGCGTATAAATATAAAAATATTATCAAAACGTTTATTGTATAAACGTTGCGGAAATAGTTTTTATCTTATGAAATTGTGTTTAACCAAGTGAAATTTAAAAAAATTGAAAATTAAATTTTCCATTGTTCAAATTTCAAGCACTTAATCGTGTCCGAGTTTTTTTCTGAAAAATTGTTTATGAATTACGAAAAAAAAGGACTGATACTGCTGATGGGTATACCACGATTGTGTGTGGGAAGTTGGGATGGTAGGATACTAAAGGTTGATAGATTTATATCTGGAAGCAACGATAAACCATTGTTAAATAAAAACGTGCAGAACGAAATTCAAAATTGTGTAATAGATATATACCGGTATTCATTTTTATTCGTTTTTAATTTTTAATTTTTAATTATTATTGGAAAACTAGTTCTAAAATGTATTAATATTTAAATTTTAAATAACAACCAATTAGTCTCATAAAACATAGATACTTTCCATGTGTTTCAAAAATGATTAAGGGACAAAATAAATTAAACTGAATAAAGTACGTCAGTTATCTATGGTTAAATTAATATTATCTAAATGGAGAATCAAACCAGACCATGTGTGTTAATATTAATATTGTTATGTTTATGATAAGTATATTTTTTTATTAATTGTATTTCATTTTAATTATTTTGAGTAAATATTTTCAATAAAAAAAAAAAAAGGTTATCCTTGGATAATGGGGATGGGTGCCAGTCACTGTTGTAGGTTGGAAGTGAGGAAGGTAGGATACAGAAGGGGATTTAATATATATATATATATATCTGTAAGCAAAGATCGCACATTGCTAACGAAAACACGGTTCTAAACTAAGTTCAGTTGATAGTATTGGTTTGTCAATAATATATATGTCATATTTTGGCAAAATAATTATACATGCATTGGACATTTTTTTAATAATATTTATTTAATATTGTACCTAATCTTTAGTTCTCCCGGTTTTCCTATGCTTTTTCCCCAGTTTTTCCTATTTATTGAGAAAACTCCTGAGAAAATCAACAAATGACCTCCTTAAAGTACCACCTCAATCAGATTTCCTTTCAGAAAAAATGCTACATTTGTAAATCAGATCAATATTTCTGTTAGTAAAGTTGTTCACAGATAAAAAAAAAAAAAAAGTCATTGTAATAACATAAGCTTTTTCGATCCACTCGGAATCTAAAATAAATATGCTAACCTGGTCACTCTAAGAAAATCTAAAATTACGTCTTATAATATAGTATATTATATTTAGAGTCTTATTAGTTAATTTTTGTCCTTATATGATAATACATAGATAAAAATGTAAATTTAAATCAGTTTTCGAGCGTAGCAAACGGATTTTTCTTCCTTGATGTGCTGATCAAAAATCCCCTCCCCTGCTATCAAAATCTTAAATGATGTCATTGACTGATGTTGTGTAGTTTCATACAAAATGTGAAAGTATATTATACATTAGCCTTTAATTTATAAATACATATTTTGAAGTACCTTCATATTAATCTTCCTGTTTCCGGTACGCACTTAGCATTTGGTTTTATGATTGATATTGGAAAAATTATAATTTTTTTTTTTTTTTTATCTTGATGAAAATTTCGTAGCGTTATACAACACACGCTGATAGTGGTTATGATAATATATAATCCGATCGCATACGTTTTCCTCGCTGAGAATAACCGTTCTCGGAACGAAATGAAATCGATAAACCGTTTCTCGGCTGCGAATTAATACCATTAATACCTAATTAAAATATTCGCGTACGAGATATTCGACAGAGATATTATCAGACCGCTCGCGAAATTTCGGGCGTCTTGCAGTATGATTATAAATTATTGTCCATCACTGCGCGTATAATTGTTTTGAAGTCGGCGATGGCGTTTAAAGTTTTGCGAAACAATTAATTTTAAGTGTATCGTCGTAACTATATTTTAAAGTTGACCGATTCGTTTAAGCGTTTCGATTAAAATGCATAACTGTCCGGATTTGGACAGTTTAAGGAATCGTTCAAATACACCCGAATATCTGATTTTGTGTGTACGTAGCGAACAAACCATAAATAGATATTCATTTTATCGAGATTTACATTTACCCGAAAAACGCAAATTTTTCGGTTTACAAAAATTAGACTAGACAATAATTTTACCACGAAAACCAAATTTCTGGAGACAATAATTGGAACTACCTAAATTTAATCTAATAATCAATTATCGTATAATATTTATAATATTTATTTATGTATTTAAAACTAACAAAATGACCGAAAAATTCTAAAAAAAAAACGTAAAATAAAGTTTCACTTTTGAAGTATCGGTTACACAAATCGAATTATTTGGAAACTATTGTCTTAGATCACCCCCCTCCATCCCACCTCCCCACACCAACAAAAAAATTAATTTTTCATTGAAATCCAGACCCCGACGATGATATACCGGTTTATCACAAATTCTATAGACTTATCGGTTTTTATTTTTTCATTGTATTTCTATGTTGCAACCAGAGCCCAATAGTACCGGGTGATCCATTAAAGTGGGTACACTCATTATTTCGGAAAGTATTAAATTTTTCAGGAATTTGTTTTCTAGAACATTTTAAAAAAAGGCTGCTCAACAATATTATATTTATGTAATTTTTCGTCAACCTCATTTTTGGGGGTAAAACCATTACCTATTTTTGATTTTCAAATAGTAACCTATATTAAATTATCCATAGATAACGATAGATGAAAGATGGAGTATAAGTAAAAATAAATTTGAGTGTTGAATTCTTTTGATTTCTGTCAAGCCGTTGAAGAGATAGTCCACTTGTAAGTTTAGGTTGAAAGAGAGTAGTGGTGCGTTATTAACACACCGCGCGCCATACCGCCACACAAATGATACGAGACACCCCACTACTCTCCTCCAACCACAACTTAAAAGTGAACGGCTTGACAGAAATCAAAAATTCTAACACTCATATTTATTTTTACTAATACTCCATCTATTTATAGATATTTTAATATAGGCTGCCATTTGAAATTAGGTAGTAGTTTTACTCCCAAAAGTAAGAGTGACAAAAAATAACATTAATGTACAATTGTAAAACAACTTGTTTCTTAAATTTCCTAGAAAACGAATTCAGGAAAAAATTAATACTTTACGAAATAAATTCCCACTTAAATGGATCACCTGGTATGCTTGAATATTTTTAACATTTAAGTATAAGTACTTGTGAGTATTCGTAATACTGCAATTTCTTCGTGCTTTCCCGGGATTTTGAATATTAAAATTATTACGTTTAGGCGTACAATCATATCTAAAAATTCAAGAGATAAAACTTTTTTTTTTGAATATTATTCCGTCCGGAATAAAAGGATTTACCGAAAAAGAAACTCATACCGTCGAAATAACGTAGAATTTAAAACCCACTTTTTATACGCAAAGCCCGTACATGTTATTAATATTATATTCTGCATAAGTATTCTAAGTATATACACCGTATAAATACATATAGTTCTCGAGCCCAATTCAGTATGCATATAAAGCTGTCAAATGTCCTGGTAAATATTACTATAGTGTTAAAGAACGATTTCTTTACGTTAACCAAAATAGTTTAGAAATTTAAAAATCCTTTATATTTAATACGGTTTTATTTTTTCTTACAAAAATGAGAGCTTTTTATTGTGTGTATGTGTATGTTTTTGTAAACGACTTTTCTACCAGAAATAAAAATCTCGCTGTGATCAGTAACTTCAGGAGTGGTTTCTGGTAGCAAATTCGATCAAGTCGGTGTATTAAAGGTCACTTTCCACGTAGTTGTCTTAATTATATGTGAAAACTAGAACCAAATGTCCGAAAACGGGAATGTTTGCATGATAATAATTCTTGTTAATTTTAATTTTATTTGTTTTTTTTTTTTATTTTTCGTAAGTTATAGAAAACTAACCTATACATCTTAAGACGTTCTGGCGTTTTTTGAGGTATTTATAGAAATGGAAAAGTTTTAGTTTTTATTTAGATAATATTATAGTTTTGGCGTGTAAAAAATGATCAATACACCATTACTCAATACAATTATACATTATACTTTTTTTTTTTTTTTTTTTTAAATATATTATTAATAATTTATTGCCCTATCAGACGTTTCCAGTATCCAAGAAAATCATTACGATATTACGGCCCTTACACGAAATACTTTATGGTTTTCTATGTATGATTACACCTATAATTTATAATATTTTTGTCTTCAGAAAAATATATTCATACTCTCATACTGTTCAAAATCATATTTAGCACTAAAAACTACCGATTTCACAGTGAGTACAGTGTTTATTACGTTTTTTATGATTCTATCACCCATGAACGCTAATAACAGTTTTTTTTGCGAATACTAAAATGTACCATTTGTGATACCATGGTGCATTAGAACATTTTTTTGTTTTTAATTATTTTTATTATCAATGTATTAATCAATCATATAGTTCAGATTTCAATTTAAAGTTTGATTGTTAATACTGAGTGGAGCGAGTAATGTACTGGTTTTACAATGATGTTTTTTATTATTATTTTTTTTTATGTTAACACTTTTTTTACACGAAAGGTTATTCCGATTATCAAGCATAACACCTTTTCTGAAAGGAAATATTCTATGGGTGGTACTTTAAAAAAAGTGATTTTTTTGAAATTCTTATTAATATTTGAAGAAAACCCAGTTCTTTGGATTAAAAGCGATTAAAAGATTAAAAATAAGGTTGTCATTGGCAACCATTTTTATTGTTTTAATCTTTTTTATCAATCGATATGTTTAAATATTTTTTTTTTTAACCCAGAGTATTTCCTAATTTATTCTAAAACCGTCGAAATAACGATCACTTGATATTATTTTAATATTACTACTATTCCACGAATATCGGTTTTCATATTATAATATTACATTTTTTTGAGACGGTCAAACCGAATATAATAAAAAAAATAAGAAAATTTCGCTAGATCACAGTTCTGACCATTTCATTGTTAACAGTCACCGCTTTTGAACGCGGTTAGACGGATTTACATGGGCATAGCCATGGGTATACCAACCCACGCTGATTGCAGTGAAAACAATGTAAACCCAGCGAAGTTTCCCGATACAGTTTAAACTGTACTAAAACTTCAAACATGTACAATTTCAAGTTTTCAGTGACCCGTGAAACTTTTCACTTTACTCTTTTAGACCTTTAATCCGCTTTATATACAGATATTACAAAATACTATGTTCAATTTTCATCGTTTTAGGAATCTACGTTTAAATATTAGTAAAAATCACAGATAATAAAAAAAAAAAATGGATAAACGTAATCAAACATAATCGCAGATGCATTCATTGAAACATGTTTACAGGTTACTTACATTAGGTAAATATTTTATTGTTTTTCTAATTTAAAATAAAAAATAAATATTTTTACTGTTGTTTTGATTGCCTATTATATTTTTTTAATATCTCGCAACATTATAATTTTGTTAGTTTCATTATAGTGATGTGTTGTTTTTTTTATGTCCCTAATCAAATTTTCTACCAATACTCTTGTTCTTATCAAAAACTTTATATAAACCCTCTTGTAAGATTATCGATCTAATTGTTACTTACGAGATGGCTACACGGTTTATAATTTATTTGTCGTTTTTTTTTTAATAAAAATAGAAAAAACTGGCAATTCCGTGTATAGTTTTCGTTGATTTCTGGGTTACCTGCTACCTTAGCCACAATAGTGCGAACAACCGTTAATCGTTGCGTGCGGATATAAATTAAATATTATTCTATACATGCAACTTCCTTTCTAAACCAGTGGCACTCCCGTCTACAGCAGTATCAGCTCTTTATTTCCTATTCGAACATAACCAAATAATTGAAAAACAATCTGACGGGGGGGGGGGCACAACGGGGAACTCGCATTGGTGTCAGAACCTGTAATTCTTGTGCAATATGTAAATAATCGCGTACACGCGTAGTTTTCATCAAACAACCGCGGAAAAACGAACGTTACTATACAACCGACCAACTATTTCGTCGTACGGGCAAACAGTTTTCACGAAGAGCACACTTATACACGACTAATACGGTACCTATATTGAATTTACTCGGAAATAGGTACCCACGCGGAGTATCGAATATTATTAGATTATACACAGTTCGATTGATATAACATTATGTTATACTACGATTGCAGGTATAGGTACACAATATAATAATAATAATATGATTATTATTATTGCGGTACGGCAACAACCTTTTTCGTCGTCGTTATTATTATACGGCCGGCGTAAACCCTGCACGTTCGTTGCACAACATACAGAATGTTTCAGTTGGTATTGTGGCCATCTCGTTCGACATTCAACACGGAACGCGTTGCGATTTGTCGTTCCCACGAAAATTCCATTTCGGTATACCTACGTATACAGTCCGTTCGATTTTCGATATTTTTTTTAAGGATGGTCTGAAAATTCCGAGAACCAGTACATAAAACGAAAGTAATTCGCCACTGTACTACCCTTCCAACAATAAAATAATTGTCTAGATATAGTATACGTTTTTCTATTAAACTACATGTAGGGAATGCCGTGAATTTATTGTACCCGTGATTGTACCCGCGTTCGCAAAACGAAAATTAAGTTTTCTAGAGAAAAATTTAGAATTCGATAATCGACTATCGATACTTTTGTTAAAAAATAAAAATTATATTAATATATTAATCGGTCGTATTATTTATTATAATAAAACAATATTTAGAATTCAGACGAAAAGCCTCATTAGCCTTATTTAATATTAAACAAATGCGAAAGTAACTTATCTGTTTGTTGCCTTTTTACGGCTTACATTTAGAGGCCCCGGGGCCAAACTTTTCAACAAGGCTCTCGTTTTTAAATTTGTTTAAACATTTACTAACCAACATGTTTAAACGAAAGGAAAATAATAAATATTATAGACATCATATTGATCTCGATTCAAAAACCACAAGTATTATTTAGATAAATAAATAAATTATTTTTAACGAAGTTACCAGTACTTTTTATTGTATAATATAATAATACGAATCATAACACAAAGTTATCATTGCAGGCAACGACAAAATATGCAAAAACTGAGGCCCCGGGAGTCTGATGGCCCGGATGCCATGACCTTCCCTGGACCCTCCCTTAATCCGGGCTTCCCAATGTAGACGCGTAGATGCTCAAACTCGAATTTCGGATTATTTTTTTTTTTAAAAATTAATATTTTCGGGTTATCTCGGTTACGCGAAAACGCGTCGTACGTTTTTTCCGATTCTAACCGACGACGGTTAACCGTGACCCGGAATCGAATTTCGTTTGTTACAGTACACACGTAGATAATGTGATTTATCGTCGATTTAAACAAACTTGTGTATAATACTGCAGACCGCCTTTCCATACACAATAATACGCCTTCCTTCCACAACAGTATCGGCATGCTTTTATTTTTCTTCTATTGTTAATCATACGGCCATTACGACACTATAATATTATCGTATCGTATTGTGCGGCACTATTGTAGCGCGCGGTACGATCGACGGTTCGAGATTATTAGATCTGATATTTGCCTTGTATTTTATCTGTATTTTATGCGATATCCTATCAAATTATAGAAGTCGGTAAATTTTAAATTGTATAATTACTTAATCACAATAATATCGATAGTAATAATAGTATGTTATTTGTGGTTTTATGTCTTCACGATATCCATACAATTATAATAATTAATTTAGGTATATAATTTTATAAGAACATATGAAATGATAAATTGTAAAACTATTAAGCAATAAGCGTCTAATGTCGAATACTTTTAACGCTGAATCTTAATAACAAAAAACAAAAATTATTTTTTTTTTTAACACAGTTAATATCTGTTCGTGCTCTCAGTCAACTAGGTTGTTCAAGTTTTTTTTTTTTTTTGGAAATTTAACGTGTGCTTAAACTAGTTATTTATTTTAATTCATTGATCTATCTAACTTTGCATTTGATGCCTTTGAAGGTATATCGAGGTATTAAATCTCACCACCCTAAAGTTTCCATCGTTTTTGGAGTTTGTATGCACAAATCCGACACGCCCTATATACGAAACGCGCTTTGATGTGTGCCGTATACGATATAGATACATCTAACAGTAAAAATAACAATATTGGGAAATTTTTTAAATTTGTTTTTTTTTTTATTTTTTTGTTCGACAGGTTGGATAAATTCAGCCATCAACCCGTTCATATACGCTTTTGTTAGCCAGGACTTCCGGATGGCGTTCTGGAGGCTGACTTGCAGTTTTTGCGCCGGACAAAAGCCCAACCCGAATGTGGCGAACAACCGGTTCGTGATTCGCTACAGCCATTATTCAAGGAACCAGGTCTAAATAAACGGGCACAAGGAAACAAAATGACAGGCACGATGATCGTGTTGTATATTAACTATTGTATGTGCCCAAAAAAGGCGCGTGAAACTAAATAACTATTATAGTGAGTCCTGGGTCTGTTCCGTTTTTTTGGCCCTATGTACTTTTACTTCTTTATCTTCCTCTTCTACTTCTTCTTCTAGGGCATCAGAAAAACCATTAAGGTTCATCACCACAACTACAACGTCTCTCCACTTCTCCTTGTCCATTTACAATTCATCTGTGTTCTCCACCCTAATCTTCCTAAGGTCTTCCTTTATTCTATCTACCCAACGTGGTCTGGGTCACCCTTTAGGCTGTTTTGAGTTTAGTCTCTATTAAGTTATGTTCCCCAATATTTGTTCAGATCTCCATACACGATCGGCCCATCTTATTCTGTTGTTCTTCATGATTTCTCTAATATTGGCTTGTCCACATAAATTTCTCAACTCTTCATTTATCCTAACTTCAATTCATCTTCTCCGTTATTTTTTGGTGTAAACTTTTTCCAACGTATTTTCCTTTTATAAACACCCAATTTGATTCTTCTCTAATTTTCTCATGACTAATTGTGATTTCATCCAACCGCGTAAATTTACATAACAAAAAAAAAAAAAAATAAATAAATGTTTTTATACTATATATTTATATTATAATAATATTCAGAGTGGTGCAACGAGACAAATTATTCGAGGTTAGGCATTAAAAAATTGTATAAATACAATGATAAACTTCAGACGCGTTATAGAAATAATTTGTCCTCGATTATTTTATTATAAAACTTAGACATTTAAAAAAATAATAATAATAATAAAATATTGTAGAGTTGTTTATTTAGTATTTGTTAAAGTTATTTCCCCCCTCCCCAGGGGGCTCTGTTTTACTATAGCTCTCTTTTACCCTCCCATTTTAATATGGCTCGTCAAATTTTAGTACTATAGTCCGAACAATAACGATAACAATATCATTATTATTATTAAGTAATAGTACTATGTGATAACCAACGACGAGACAAAGTAAATTGTATGGGTTTTTTTTATAAGAGGTAGTGGAGTTAATGGTGACGACAACGTATTTTCCGGAGTGTTGAAATTACGTATAATAATATTATATAAGTAAAAGAGTATACTACTATAGGTAATTTTTTTAATATTATTATTTTTATTGCTCAAGAAAACGTTCAAAGATAATATAACATGACGATTGATACTTGATACTTGATTTCAATGAACTTAGGAGAACGTGACGCCCTGTATTTTATGGAAATCGATCTACTCGAAAATTTTCGTTAGAACAAAAATAAATTTATAATATAATTGCACTAGAGTACAGATATTGTTTATTGTAAAAAAAAATACCCTTCCAAGTGATTTCATTTAGTGAATAATTATTTTTAAAACGTGTTCCTGACAAAAATTTTTGGAGACACATGGACCATATCGGTGGCGGTTCACTTATAATATTCTTTAAAAATCTACAATAGATATCTACAGAATGATTTTTTATCATAAACCAGCAATTATCTCAGAGAATTTTAAATGAATTTAATTTCTGTTTTTTCTAATTTTTATGTAATCGTTTAAGCTCTTTTTTAAAACCATTTTAAATTTTTTACCTCTACTCCATATACTTTAAATAAGTGCACACTTTTAATTTTCAAATAGAAACCCCCCTTCTTTTGAACACAGATTTGAATAAAGAATATTTTTCTTGAAATTCGTATATGCATAACACTTATATCAGATTTACCGTTTATGAGTTATAACAGTTTAAAAGCTTAAACCGGAGGAGTAGAGAAAGGTCATAGATAGGCAATTTATTACCCTTCTCTATTCCTCCGGTCTAAGCTTTAAACTGTTATAACTCAAAATTAAAAAATTAAAAATGGTTTTAAAATAAAGCTTAAACAATTCCATAAAGATTAGAAAAAACCGAAATCAAATTCACTTAAAATCATCTGAGATAATTGCTGGTTCATAATAAAAAAAACCACCCTGTATTTGTGTATCACACATGAATATAACTGCATTTTAATTTAAATTTATTTTTCGATTTCCAACTAATTTGTTTAAATAATTTAGAAAACGACGACCAAATTGTGTTAATAATTCTGTTTTTTTTGTTTTACGCGAACAAATTATTATTAGTTTATTTTATTTTTACCGAAAAAAATGATCGGCGTATTATTATTATATCTGCCCGTCCTCTTAAGACCCGCAGATAAAATTCGAATTTTTATATATCCAAAATAATAATTTACTTTTACTAAAAAAAAAAAAATACAATTTACTCAACCGTGGTCCTTATTATTATTATTATTATTTTTTTTTTTTTGTTAATTCTTTCACCCCAAGTTTTTACATTTCAAAACTACAAAAAATAATAATAAAGTTTCGAAATAGTTAGCCCACCCTAAGACGTGTATCAAGAGGATGAATGTTCAAAACGGGTGCTGTTCGATTTTTTTTAATTACGGCCTGAAATATTTATGAAAGGGAAACAATGCGTAGTATAAAATATTTTTTTAATAAAAATTTCCTATGAAAATGGTTCCTTGAACTTTTGTTCATTTTACAACCAATTTACATAAATAAATTAGGTAAAAATTAATTTCATTAACGTTTTTAATATTGTTTAACTAACTGGCCATTTTTAGATTTCACCGAACAATTCTTAATGCTATAAATAACGCGAGATATTATAATATAATCAACCAAATAATAATTCAATTTTCGTATCAAAAATACCAAAAACCTTTGATGAGTCATCCTTAAGTGATTGAATTTCGGAAAGCCGGCTTTGAGGTGCATCTGTATGTAAATTTTCTGAAATTTCTGAATCTCTGCGTGCGATAAATTTGGCTCTACGTTACGTACAGACTGATATTTTCTTTTATTATTATAAATCATATTTTTATAATATAATCTGAAATAGTCTAAAGTCGTCAATAAATGCAAAATCACAATTACAATAAAACGATCAGTACCGACCGACGCACATTTTCTAATTACGGATCTACGTGTTTAGGAACCCCAGAAAAAAATCAATGACATTGCATTAAAATACCAGCCCCAAATTATATATTCAACACGTAATTTTTACCGTAAATAAATATTTCACGGATTAATCGATAACGTTTGCCGATTTGATGTACACGACGTACAGGACTGATATATTTTGGATCTACTCGTAGAGTCTATTGTCATAATATCAGCGATTACCCGATTGGTTTATGAAAAACAAAAAATAACCGTTTCCAAGCACCTTTAAGGCTTTCGAATTACAGTATGTTTTCCTCGACCATTAAATTACGTATACATTTTCATTTCATATAAAATATAGGTACCTGGTACCTACAAAATTCGATTAGTTTTTATTTATTTTTAACCGTAACATTTAGATATATGACTCCTCGATATCGTTGACCGCTTTTTGTTCTTTCGATATAATATATTTTATTTTTTATTTTTTTTTTTAAACGCCATTTACAGGGAGAAAATGACCATTTATCCGGATACTTTTTTTTACGGTACAATTATTACTATCGAAAAAATAACGGTAAAATGCGTTGGTACAAAACCTTTAAAATATTACGGAAACGTCTTATCGGTCTATATAATATAATACCTATTAGGTACTACAAAGTTATTACAATAATGTCTCCGTTATTTTAAAAGTCGTTTTCCTCGAGCCACACGTTTATACCTACATATTTACTTTTTTTATGCTTATTGGCTTGTATCACGGGAATATACCGGCGCCCCTGCGTGCCGGTCGGTTCAATATTTTATTTAAATATTATATTAGAATATAAGTCCTAATATCTTTTCCCCTTTCGCCGGATCCGATCGATGTTCCTGTATATTTCTGTAGAAAGCGATTATAATATTAACACGAACTTGCAGTAATCACTAGCATGCACCCTACGAAGATATTGAGTACAGTGGATTTTGAAGTTTTTCGTAGACATTTCTATTATAACCGTTTAACAATCTCCTTTTTGTCTACGACCTTGAATACCACCGTGCTGACAAACAATTTCGTACCGTTGACCTATAGTGACAGATTAATCGATATACCGCCTTCAAGCAAAACCGAATTTGCCACACATCATCATCTTCGTGTCACAACGTTTGTTTTAAAAAAAAATTCAATAACTCTTCTTAGAGTGATTCAAATTTTTTGCTAACCTAACCATTTATTGGTAATTTGAATTATTTATAGATAACTAGATACAATATTTTCTGTGTTTTTTCGGTGATTACTTTCCAATTACATTAAATATGAATAAAGGGCAGTATAATAAGGTACACGACTTTTGGTTAGTAATTAATGTTAGTGTTTGGGTCAATTTTCAAAAAATATACATAAAATCATTGGTACAAAATATCAAAAATTAACTTTCCGAGAAAACTGCAAGCGGGAAAAAAAAATTAATTAGTTTTTACTTTATTTTTTATAAGTGGCAAACTTGACTATATTATAATATTTTAATTTCCGCACTGTCCGTCGTGTTTCACAACCATTTCCAACTGTCTTATTTTACAATATTTTTAATATTATAATAAAAGTATATTAATCTCTTTTCTGACATGAGTTTTGTAAATTTCGAATTAATATTTATGAAAATCGAAATACATTGCGTTTTGTTATCTCGTAATAAATTTAGAAAACAGAACCATTTATATTGTCGAATGATTTTAACAAACCAGAATCAAATGTTCTCAAAATCTTCGTATGGCTCACGATGAAATAATCACCCTGTATATTATATGGTTCTATTATAACGCAACCTATAATCTAAATATACACACATACACACTCTTTCACACACATACATATATAATAAATATACATATGCATAAATAATTGTACGATCAATACCTATGCTATAACTATTGCTATACTAATATTAAAAAAAATAATAATAATAATAATAGTTATCCCGCCCCATATAGATTCACGTCTGTAGGCAACTGTTGTGATTGAATTCAAATTTAAAAAACCATGCTTTTTTATTGCGGTTGTCTTTAATGTTATAATACACCTATATAGGCTATAGATGTACTTTAATATAATATTTTTAATGTGTTTGAATACTATATACCTGTACCTGTAACTGTACCTTTAAGAAAAAAAAAAAAAAACATAAAATATTGTATATTTTGTTAACTATGATATTATAATATTCGTTTACCCCCTACCGCTTAACTGTTTACGCTTCCTGCTATCTTCCCCTCCTACCCCTTACCACTGCAGATTTACGCGTATCTTTAATAGTGTAAACTAGAGAGCTTGTCTATAAATACGTCTGACGTATGTATTATACAATATAATAAAAGAGTGGACTACTACATCCCTCTCTGATATCATCTTATGCCATCTCTTTTGCGACCGCACGGTATATTAGCGGCGACCGAATGAACTAATAAAGCACCCTTATCGTACACCCCATTCGGATATCTGCGCGGTAAACCGATAGAGAAGTCGCGTCGGGTAACCGTCGTATTACAAAACGGCATCGCATCCCTCTCTTATCATTACATAATTGGTGTATAATAGATTATTAAGCTCTCTAGTGCAACAGGACATTCGTTCAATTATATATACCCATTGGATGTGATGTCCACTCCACTTGCCACCACTTGCCACCAGTTATACCTTCCAAACTAACCTGAAGGTTACTTTTCCGGATATAAAACAAAATATTTTGTTACGAAAATCTACCAATTCGATCGTTTACCGTTAATTGTCCATAACAGTGGCACGCGTACAGTTACCAACAACTGTAGGTAAACGCGTTCTTACTCTATACAGCAGGGTGTCCAATGGACTTTTTACCGTGTGTCCGCAGAAAAACCCATTAAAAAAAAAAAAAAAAAAATGCCCTTTAGTGTAAATTTACGGACGGATTTCCCGATGTTTCCTAATAATGTTAATTAAGCGTACAATATTATGCCTACGTAATTATACCTACTATTATATTGTTATGATCTCATATCAATGATTGTAATAAGCTTTATACATTATATTATATTTTATTATAATGCATATATTATTATCTACTATATAAAATGTTGTATGTTATTAAATATAATAATATAATTATTATGTGAACTATATTATTGCGTGTAAACCGTCGTTTTTGTTCGTTCGGCTGTAACGTCACGGACTCCCGATCGAAAAAGTGCCGTTTTCGTTTTATTTTCGAAATTAATTTTTCGCAAACGTTTTTAACCGCCGTTTTTATTTTTCCGCGTCTCCGTAGCCGAAAAATACATTTAAAAAAAAATATCCGAAAAACGTTGCATGCAACTTACGTTCGTATACCATCGCAAATAATTAATCCGTCGTTATATTGTCGATTTTATTATATTTTCCGACCGATTTTCTCAGACCCAAAAGCTATAGAAACCAATTTAAAATTTTAATTTTTTAGCCCCTCCAAGACTTATTGTCTTTCTGTTTAATTAGATAAACTAAATATAGATGTTGTTAGTTAGCAAAGTATTTTATGGATTTATTTTTGTTTGTGAAATTACTTAATTTATATCATTGGTATTGGTGCGGGAGGGGGGGGGGCAGAAAATAACTGAAACATTTATCTGGTATGGAACGTTGATTTCTACACTAAAACCAGCACTCATCCTCGTTTTTTCTCTAATACACGAACAGTATCTAACCGTGAAACTTTCGAATGGATCTTTACAATGGCAAGCCCTCCCAATTTTTTGTGCTATGAACGGCAAAACTTATTTCTATTTCATCCGCTCAGTGTGAGCAAAAGCGTTTATTTATCTTAATTTTGCTTACTGTTTTTCTGCACATATTTCTGCGGTTAATCACACACATTTGACGCGGTTGCTTTTGCTCTCTCTACATATACGTATAGAATTCATTCTATACGTATACGTGAACGTCAGTGTCATCATCGCTATTATTTTCAACGAGTAATATAGAAATTCTAAAATGCTAAGAGTGCTAAATATTTTAGACAATATAAGAAACGTTGTCCCGAACAATAAATAATTATTGCGAAAACGTCCACTAGATATCGATTATTAATCGGGAGCTCGAGCGATACAATATTATTAGTTTTAATTGATTGTATAATACAAATATTGTAAATAAATTGTTTAAACAATATGTATCTATAAATATTTGAAGAAAAAAAAATACCCGTGTACAAAATTATACATAGAAACACGTCAGTTATATTATATTTTATTTATTATTGATTGTAATAATATTGCAATTGTGGTTTGTCGCGTGATTTTATTAATTCAAGTATAACATATTTTATTTGTTTGCGACACTGTGTATATATTGATTTCGGCACCTTATTTTAGATTCTGAATGGAGCGAAGAAGCTTATGATTGTTTTACACTGATGTTTTTTTTTTTATCCTTGAAAAAATGTTCAACCAAAAATCTTGCTCCGATTTACAGGTGTAAGATTTTTTCTAAAATGAAATCTGACTGATTTGTTTGATTTTTATCGAAGTTTTCCCAATAAATGTGAAAAACCTGGGGAAAACCGAAAAAAACGGGAATATAGGTACAATATTAAAGAAATATTATTTAAGGAAATATATAATGCACATGTAATTATGTTACATGGCATATATATTGTTGACAAAGCAACATTAACAAACCGAGAACTCCGCTCAGAATCGTTTTCCCGTTATCAACGGTTAATCGTTCTGTACCATATTATTCGCGTGATCGTTATGTCATGTTACCTATATTTTGTGTTTAAATCTGCACTTAGACATTATTTACCTATATTATTTTCTTAAAATAATGACCACCATGACTTCAAACCACTTAAATTATGACCACTAATATTCTACATTAATATCAAATGCGTTCCATCATAATATATAAACTACAATGAACAAAAGTTTCAAATTACCACACAAATATTATCGGTGCTCGTGCGATTACTGTTCCGGTAGTATATTAATATAGGTTAGGTTAATCATATCGCAGCGGGCAGCCTCATATTATATACAACGTGCACCGAAACCGTTCAAACATGTTTAATTGTATAAAATCTTTATGAAGGCAACCTCATACATAATTCATTTTTTTCCGAATACAGTTATAAAACATTGCGATACATTTTAAGAGTTTAAAGTAGCTAATAAGGAGTAATGCGTATAAAGATAGCGAGCTACATTTTTTTTTTTTTTATACAATTAGCTATAGCGACAGCGTGCTACGAAAAAAATGTTGAAATTTAAGAAAATTCAAGAAAATTTAAAAGAAGGTTTGTTATAAGTTAGATTTTGTGATAAAAAAAAAATATATATTGATCTTAATGTAGTATTTTTTTTTTTTTTTATACGAATCTTAATATCAGATTTTGATGAAAACCGTAAATTTCAAAACATAACCTAACCTAACGGTCTTTCATAACATGTGTAACCGAATTAGCCGAATTACCGAAAATGAAAATAATATAAAATACCTATTGAATTATTTTACCATAACATATATATTGTTGATAAAGCATCACTTTCAATTGAACTACGTTCGTAATCGTTTTTTCGTAAGCAATGGATAAACCAAATGGATTGCTTACAGACTTACATTAAATTTCCGTCTATTTCCTGCCTTCCTAACTTCCCACCTACAACACTTGCTGCACCTACATGCAAAAGTATATCCGTCTTTTTTCTTTTTTTTATGTACGTTTGAAGCTCAGATTTTTATGAAAATCGATCAATCGTAAATCATACAATTGAACGGATACTATTTGAGGTATTTACTTTACCTCGCTGAAAACACTATCAGTACCAAAATGTGCCAAAGTAACAAAAATTGTAGGTATGCTTACTGATTAATACTATTTATTTATTTGAACGATAATAAATATCGCAAAATCACGCGCTAGCTAATAATGTTGGCAATGATATTCGTTCTGTTTATTATACGCGTATTTAATCAAATCGTAGTAAATTATACGTTACTTAAATTTGTTTTATTCATTGTTGTTTTTAAATTTGTATTTTTCTGAATTTTTTTATAATCATTCCTTTAGACTTTTTCAATAGCTTATTAAGTTTTCTTCATCGATATAATAGTAGTGTTTTTTTTTTTCTATCGTTTCGTAATTTTTTTTTTCCCTTTATGGCTTTATTTGCACGCGAACTCTTCGAGCCAAGACTGCTGGTAGTTGCGGATGTCTTCAAGGAACGAGGATCGAGATTCAATGATCGTAATATATTATGGAGTGTAATATTATGGATTTAAGGTAAGGTTAGGTTATACGACACAGTGGATTAGGTCAACTCGGGAACAGCTTTTTCCACACTATTTTTTTAAAATTATTGTCGTTTTTGAAGTGGGTGTGCTAAATTAAAGTCTGAGGGTGCTTCAGCACCCCCAAGCACCCCCCCCCTTAATTGCGCCTATGGGTATCACACGTACTCGCATATTATTCTTTAACTGTTATATTTAAATTTTTTTCAAATACTGAAATAAAAATTTAACAAAATAAACAAATAGTGCACCTAGTAAAGTAATATATTTATAACAATACGCGGTATACGCCCTACGGACTTCTGGATCCGGTCTTCTTGGCGCTACCTGGCGAAAGACGCGCTAACTAAAGTGCTGTCAGTTTAGGACGCAATTTTGTACTCGTGTAACAACACCATTTTATCTACATCGTGATGAACTTTAATATTAAAATTTAAAACTATTAGTACAAAGTTGTTTCCTCTGACCACAATTTTGCTATGTTATACTTGTACCTAGCCACGTTTGTAAGACGGAGACAGAACATAGCGGATATCGGGTTATCACGTTCTCTTAATAGTGATTTAAAATATCCATTACAGTAAAATTTGTTCTAAAATATTATTTATTATAGGTTGCTAAATATTATTTGATCGACGAATTCAAAACGAACAATTTATTATAATACTTCTTCATGGACACCGCCTATCTTCCTTGGAATATTTTTAGTTGATAACGCTTTATCGCTTATCACTTAACGAAAATTAAATTCAAGACGAATGACCGGAATATTATTGTTACCGTCAAAGTATAATTTAGATTTAATTTCGATAAATACACTTCGATTGTAATAACAATTTTTCAATAGGTACATTTTTATTATTTACTCTTCTAATTATAATGTAAACTGTATTATACTTACTGTACCAATATTTTGTTGAGGTTTAAGTTTTTAAAATTAATGTGATAAAATATTACAATCATGAGCTCGGGGTTTGTTACCGAAACAGAATTGGCAGAGCGGCGGAGAATTCGACAAGAAGAATGGGATAAAGTCAGAACTGCAGAACAACCTTTGGGTAATATAAAGCTTTTGGTTTGCAGCTTCTTATTGTTGCATTTAACATATTTTTTTATCAATCATTTACAGAGGTGCCTGAGGAACAATATGACCATCGTTCGTTGTTCGATAGACTCGAAGAACAGCGTAGAAAGAAAGAGTACGAATATGAAGAAACTCATAAACTCAGTAAATATTTTACACAACAATTATTTTGGTACTTATTTAGTAAAAACAAACAAATTATACACATGTCACATATCACTTTCAAAATCTAATGTGTATTATATAAAATTATAATATTTTTGTTCGTTAGAAAACATGATAAGAGGTTTGGATGATGATGAAGTAGACTTTCTCGAATTAGTTGACAGAAAAAAAATGGCCGAAGAACGACGGCAAATAGTAGAGGAGGCCAGGCAAATTGAAGAGTTCCGTTCAAAAGTATCAACTCTGCAATGTGAAACTGCAGTTATTCCATTGGTGGCTACAATCTCTAAACCATCAACTGTGACAAGTAGTACCGTGTAAGTACTTACCATAATACAAATTTAATGATATATAAAATATTTAAATTGTTTTATTTTATAACTTTCTATTGTATTAGAACAAGAAAAACACAAAGTAAATTATTGGCTGGTGCTGTTGTAAAAAAAAGAAGTTTGGATGAAAATACAAATAATGCTTTAAAAAAACAAAAAAAAGAAAATGGCGAACCTAAAGAGTCAACAGAAATATCAGCAGGTTTGATAATATTATGTTCATGATATATAAATAATTTATTTGTATTAAACTAAGTTAAGTAGGACTATTATATTTAAATTTATTTTGTTGATTGGTATTACCTACTTAGCAAACTGATAAAAATTATTTTTATAAATCACCTCAGGAGAGCATGCTACAGGTTAAGTAAATCTGGATCTTTGAGCTCCTACTGGTGGTAAATTCTAGTAGGCATATGATATTATTCACTATAAGGTGGAGGAATTTTTATAGTTGACAATACCATTCTCCTTATGCTAGGGGGTTCATAATACTCTCACGGTACCTCTATTTTTCGTAAAAGTCGATAAATAGGTTTGCATCAGATCAACAGTTAGTGAAAAATTCTGTCAAACAATATGAGGAGCTCTAAATAAGACTAATGTGCACAGGGACAACATGGGAGAGGGGCTATTATGATGCATGATGTTAGCAGATGGTGTGAACAGCCAGTATACGCAATACAGGAGATCGGGTCTAGTGAATGATTAAAACAAGGTGAGCTAATACCAAATAGTTAAGATGAAGGATAAGGAAGAGAAGAAGAAATGTATAAATTTATAAAATATTATTAATACTGTATTTAAAATATATACTTAAGTATCAAAATACCTAGGTACCTAGGTACCTTATTATTATTATTTTTATTTGTATTTAAATAAATAACTAAAATTTAATAATTAATACCCATTGTAAAATAAATTAATGTAGTGTGGTTTTAAAAATACCAAGTGATCAAATTAATTTAAATTCCAATTATTATTATTATTAATCAAACATAATATCTTTTATGACAATAATATACATTATTGTTTGTAATTTAGTACATATTAATTGGTACTTTATATACTTAATTAGTTTATTTAAACGAATAAACTGTAGTTCATAGTAAACCAAACATTCAGCACACTCGAATGTTTTGTTTTTTATATAACATTGTAGAACAAAACAAATTTATATTATAAAACTAAATACATAAATTCTTAATACTTGTCATGATAGCACAATCTGACTTGATAGTCTGAAAACATTTTTAAAGAATGATGTTGTTATCTTTTACTCTTCTGTGAATATAATTCTTTATTTTTAAATCTGAGATTTAATCCTCCTTGAAAATTATCTTTTCACTGTTTATATATTATTAAACGTGATACAATATTATAGATATTAAATATAAATAGGCCATTAGTAGAGTTTTTGTGGTCTTATGTATTGGACTACATTGTAATAAAGCCAATGTTAAAAAGGTCTGCATCACCTCATCTATCTTGTGATAGCCATACTCCTAATTATAATACCTTTAATATCTATATATAAGATTGTATAACAATTTACAAGGTTCACTTGTATTAATAATACTAATTATTATAACATAAAATTAAATTCATGTTTTTATTTTATATTTTTCAGGTGAAATCAAGTCTAGTATTTTGCCGGGTCTCGCGTATTCAGATAGTTCTGATAGTGGAAATGAGTAATAATGCCATTTCACTCAGTTCCCTAGCATATAATAATAGCTATATATATATAACATATTTATATTATTATATAATAATATAATATGCTAATAATGTAAGTAAAAATTACTACCTAAATATAATTTTTAATTTCTATTCAAGTTTTTATATATTTATTCTTGATGAATATGCGAAGTCTTCAAATTAAACTATTATTGTTAAGCATTTACACATCACCACAACATCACATGTATTGATACACAATACATTTAAATTTTGCTATATTTTTTTCTTTAAATTACTTATGTAAAATTGTAATTTTTGTTATTATTTGTTGTTAATTTCATATACCATTAAGTACTTAATTATTATAAACTATAATATTATATTTTAGTAAACATTATAGATATAATTGTATTTGCTATAAAATGGACCTATCCTAAAAAACAAACAACTACATTATAAATGGAGATGATTGAAAAAATAAATAAATAAAATACAGAACAAAAAAATGATAAATATTAATATATTTAATATTAATAATCGTATACAAAATAGATACATCATATAGTATATTATTGTTTTGACAGTACAGCAAAATAATTTTCACAGCGGTGCACATACATCAGTAAAATAATATTAAAATGGCGTATTACAGCTAAAAAATAATATTTAATGGAATTATCTTGTTTACAAATATCTATTATCTTCTATGAATGAATCGATGCACAACAAATAAAACAAAATAATTTATTATTATAATAAAAATAAATATATATACGTATAATATATAATATATTATAATATATAGAGTATAAAATTATTAACAGTTGGTTATTAATGTATAAAAATATGTTATTTTATTTTTTTTTTTTAAGACTTATGCATAATTAACAATAATAATTATATCTACGGGCGAGCCCGCATTATAATTTTAATAATAATATTATTATATTATATTCTATGAAATCGCAACATGAAATTGTTATATCATGGGTATCATATACTATAATAATATCATTATGTATTGCCCGAGCGCGTATCTATAATATTTTGATCAAAAAAAGAGAAAATAATATAATAAATCAGTCGCTTTTGTACGGATTGGTCGGATGCAGTGGCTGGGGCGGGTTCATGGCGCCCGGTTTGTCATCTTGTGGCTCCCTGGTTTAGTGCGGCCGTGCAGCATATCCTGGATCTCCTGTAGGCTCTTGCCCTCTGTCTGGGGTAACAGGTATACAGTGAAGAGCAGTGCAAACATGCAGCACACAGCAAACGCCCAGAAGACTGTGTGTATGCCAACGGACGCAGACACTGTTGCAAACGACTTAGTCAAGAAGAAACCAAGTGACCAGCAAAAACTAGCTGTCATTGCAGAAGCGACGGACTTGAGGTTTGCCGGGAATATCTCTCCCATGATCGCCCACGGGAGTGGACCGAAACCTAGAAATATTTGACGATTAATTAACATTCACCTGAAAACGAATTGTAACCACTGGCTTTCCAGTTGGGAGTCTCTGAACAGTCAAACAGTGTTTTAAATAAATAACCATTGCAAACGTAAAAAACTAAATTGTAAATAATTGTAATGCGCCGAACATGGAGTATTTAAATGTAGGAAATGATCGAGTATCTAGTATTGCTGCGATTATATTTGTTAGGTGAATAGCTACGTGTAAGCATCTATTCTATCTTGTATCTAGATGCTGAAAATAGCTTGATCTATAGTATCGAGTATTTATATAGATACTCATTTTGAAGTATCATGACCATCCCTGTACCAGTGGCCGATTTGATTTGTCTTCTAGGGGGTAATTGTTTCAATGTGATAGCACAATTACCTACAGAGACCGTGATTATAATTTATTCAATTTATTAACACACTGAACTCCTATACAGATATTATAAAGATTTCTGAAAGAAATTATTATTTGTAGGTAGTTTGGCGTCTAGAGGGGGCATGGCCCGTATGGCCGCTTTTAAACGCCGCGCCTGCCCTGTACCTATATACGAGTACCTGGGTATCGTTCCCACTTCGCACCCATACCGGTGCAGGCCTACACACCCATCAGCAATTGATATAGTTTTAGTTTATAGGTTGTTTTTTTTTTTTTTTTCGAATGTAACGCTATAAATCGATTAGGTATAAATATTATTAGGTATATAATAACGTACCGAGGCAATAGGTGATTATGAAAGCCACCAAACTACACACCGGCACAAATCCGTACGCAGTCACGTCGTGTCCAGCTGACTGTAAGTAGAAATACATTCCAAGCATTCCCTGTAACGATATAATAAAACAAAGAAATTTATTAAAACGATTAGCAGCTACGAAATGTACTGTAGGTAATAATATGAATCTTGTTTAAAAGCCCTGTACTGCGCCCATGCCAGCTATCAAAACTGGAGTTTGGATCCGTAATCGAGTTAATTCGATAAATCGATTAGAAATATTACAAAGGCGATTTCTACGTTCCGTATGGTCTTTTAGGTTAAACACGGTGTCTCGTGAAAACTAGGTTTAGAATTTCTCGAATCGCGGCGTTTTCGTTACGTTCGTTGGCGTTCAACCATAAATTAATGAACAACAGCATGTCTGGAGATTGCGCAGATTTATTTGAGCTAATAAATTTAAAAGTCTACCGAAATACCGACGAACTAAAATTCGATTTGATTTTTTTTTTTTTTGATTTTTTTATTATATTCATTATCGTCATTAAAAACGCACGTTAATAGTTTATCAATCTAATTTTAAATTTCATTTTAATTACTATGCATACCGTCATGTTATACATTTGGATTTGACGCGTTGCACCCTGCGTGATATTAATAAATAAAATTAAAACAAATGTACGCGGCAGGGGACTGTTTTGTCATCCAACTCCCGAAAATCGTTTTGGACGATTTTGGACTTCGGTTCCGCTATTAGGTATAGTATTGTGTGGGTGCCTGGTTCGTAGGTAACGCAAATGCACAGGTGACAAAAACAACAGCAATATTATTGCAATATGCTTACGTCGGAAATGGCCATTCCTATGGCCGAGACGTACAACATCATTCTCATGGTGGTGATTTTGGCCAGAGACGGCGTGATGCCGGCTGCGATCAACATCACCACGCCGACGATAATAGCGGACACGCTGGCGGACATGTTGGCGCCGGTTTTCAGGAAAATCTTCTCGCTGTACAACAGCACCACGTTGATACCGCTCAACTGTTGCCACGTCACCATGGCGCACGAGATGATCACCGCCTTGATGTTGCCCCGGTTCACGAACAGCTCGCCGAAACCCGATTTCTGTTTCTTCGCGTCGTCCACGGATTTCTAAACGTTCGCAGACCGATTAGATTTGTATTATTTTGTATAACCGTGGCCAAATAAGGCCGGGGGGGGGGTCAAATCACACGTGAATCGAACTGAAAAGTTCAAGTGCTTAGCTACATAGTTAGTACAGGTTGAACGGCGCGAGCGAGTAGAATAATTGTAGAGTACACAGATACCTAGCTGGACAAAATGATGCGAGGGAATCGAATGAATCGACGGAACAGTGTGGTAAAAATATGGCATTGAGGAGGACAAATGCGAAATTTAACAATATGTGAGAAACTGGTGATGGGTGGAGATTTGTGGCCGGGGTGAAAAAAGGGGTTTCGGAAGAGAAGATAGGCGCAAATAGTGGGGAGTATCAATAGGGATCTATTCCTCACAAAACGCTGCCAAATCAGTATTACTATTATCATGTAAATACTATGCATACAGATCAATATTATAGGGACTTTAGCCACCTTTCCCCCAAAAAAATATTCGGTCCTCTTTGCTCGACATTATAATATTATACTAACGAGTTATAAAGATATCGGAGATATTTTGATCGCGTACCTTGATCTCGTTGAGCTCCTTGATGACGACGGTCTCATTCGGGTTACCCCGTAGCCACCTGAGCGATTCCATTGCCTTCTGTTCGCTGCCGGACTTGATGATCAGCAGCGAGTGCGGCGAGTCCGGCATCCACATGTACATGCCCACGCACAATACGGGCGAGGCCAGGGACACGATGGCCAGAGTCAGGTATGTAGTATACGGTCCCACGATGTACTCGAGAAGGAAACCGACCACCAGGAAAAACTGCATCAGCGTGCCCAGTGACGACCTCAGGCGCGTCTAAAACATCAAGTATACAGTATAGTGACATCGTATTTCCATACAATATTATACAATTTTTCCCCTGGGAATCTTGTGCTCGGCGAGTCGAGTCCCCAACGACCTCTTAAAATTGTCCAACGGCTGTATCGAATAAACCATATGGGTTATCGTGTTCTCCGAGTGATATCAATATTATCGTGAATCGAATTCGCATATATATATATATATATGTCTACGCATAGGTCATTTGCACCGAGACCAATCGAAGAAATAATCGAAGCCCGTCGACAAAATTCAAACCCAATTACTAAACCATTACAATACTTTAAAAATTTTGTTTCTCTTTAAATTTCAAGAAGTCCATTGAGATATGTGACGGAAATTTCGAACTCGGCGCGTGTCCAGCGGTATTAAAAATATTATACCTTACATAGACTTGGCGATATCGTGCAATAAACTTCGACGAAAACGTGAACATTACGTGTCCTTTGTCGTTAATGCGAATCAAAGTGACGTTTTACGTGCGTCAAATACAATATTTACTATCAGGACATACTAGTCGGTATATTTTTAGTACCAGATTAAATCTAAGGCCGCGCATACAATTTATCGCCAAACGAGGCGCCCCTGCGCCAACCGTCGCCCGGATATAATAATAATAACCGGAACATTATTCAGTTGGATTACACAAATAGGAAAGAAGAAAATGAAAACGCGTACAAAATAATAGTAATGTACAATACACTTCATAATTTTAAAAATGCGCTATAATAATAACTGCGGAAAAAATGTGCATGTATGGTATGTACGATTGGATAAAACGGGAAATTCAGACTTTGGAATCGTAACAATTTAAATTTATTAACATTTTAGAGATTTTAAATTCGGAGCGTATGTATCGGTTTTACAATCATTTTTTTTTTTTTTTTTTTATATATACTGTGAACTACTTGACTACCAAAAATCTTACTCCGACGTGTCGAATGAAGCGCTTTTTCTGAAAGGATATTTTGTCTACTTTAATGATGTCAATTTTTAATTTTCCAAGCGGTTTTCATAATAATTGAGAAAAAATGTAGGGAAAACTCGAAAATTTACGAAAATAATGTTTATATTATTTTCAATTTTGTTTTTTTTTTTTGTTGTTGTAGTTATTCAGTTAAAAATACTCGTAGAGACATTTGAACAGAAAACTCGTATTTGCCTT